ATTGCCGGTTTGTTGGTTTGGCTCTGTCCTGCCCATCTCAGGGAAAGTGAACCACAATAAGAAGGCCCCAACTCAGTCTATACATAGTCACACACACTGGAATCCTAGCAGCGGGAGCTGGAAGCAGGAGCTCAAGACCAACTATAGGAGGCTCTGCCTAGGGGAAAACAATAAAACAGGCTAGAGAGATGGTTCCGTGAGTCGAGCCACTTGCTGTCAAGCCTGATGACCACAGTCCAGTCCCCAAAACTCACAAAGTGGGAGGAAACAACGTCCCAAAAGTTGACCTCTGACCTCCACATGCGTGCATACACACTCACACAAATAAATAAACGCATTTTTAAAAACTAAAGCTGGAGAGATAGCTCAATAGTTAAGAATAGCACTGGCTGTTCTTTCAAAGGTCCTGAGTTAAGTCCCAGCAAACACGGTGACTCACAATCATCTATAATGGGGTCTGATTCCCTCTTCTGCCATGCAAGCATACATGCTAGTAGACCACTCATATACATTAAATACATACATACATACATAAATACATAAATAAATCTTTTGAACTGGAGAGATGGCTCAGCAGTTAAGAGCCCTGGCTGTTCTTTCATAGGTCCTGAGTTCAAGTCCTAGCAACCACACGGTGGCTCACAACCATCTATAATGAGATCTGGTGCCCTCTCCTGGCCTACAGGCATACATGCAGGTAGAGCACTGCATACATAATAAATAAATCTTCAAAAGAAGAAAATTAAGAAGGACCAACTCCCAGATAACCTCCATCCCCACTGCCTTCACCTTTGCCCTAGTGGAGACACAGAAAGTATCAGAGCCAGCCCTTGCCATCCGCAACATGAAGTAGATGGTTCCCACAGCTTTCAGTGGCTAATCATCTTGAGGTCCCCAGCAATGGAGCCTCCAGACCCCACAACCCAGACATACTTTGTCAGAAACCCTCTTTCTGGGGGCTGGAGAGATGACTCAGTGGTTAAGAGCACTGGCTGCTCTTCCACAGGAACCAGGTTCAATTCCCAGCACCCACGTGGCAGCTCACAGCTGTCTGTAATTCCAGTTCCAGGGCATCTAACACCCTCATATAGACATGCATGCGGGAAGAACACCAATGCACATAAAATAAAAATGAACAAATATTTTTAAAAAGAAAAAAACCCTCTTGCCATACTTTTTCTCAGTTCTCAAAAGATGGCTCCGTGGACCCTTACTTGGAAACATTCCAATGGCGCAGTGAAAGAAAGAGCCAAGGCCTGTAACTCCAGCTTCAAGGGATGCAGCGTCCTTCTGGCCTCTGCTGGTACACATACACATATTTTTTTTGTTTTTTTTCGAGACAGGGTTTCTCTGTGTAGCTTTGGAGACTGTCCTGGAACTAGCTCTGTAGACCAGGCTGGCTTCGAACTCACAGAGATCCGCCTGCCTCTGCCTCCCCAGTGCTGGGATTAAAGGCGTGCGCCACCAACGCCCGGCTACACATACACATAAGTAAGTATAAAACAAATCATTTCGTATAAATGGCCTCCTGTTATTTATCTGTTTATTTATGTGCTTTGCCTTCAGGTAGGCATGTGCTCCACACGCCTGCCTGGTGCCCATGGAGGCCAGAGGGCGTCAGATCCCTGGAACTGGAGTTACCAAGGGTTGTGAACCATTATGTAGGTTCTGGGAACCAAACTCAGATTCCCTGCAACAACATCAGCAAGTGCTCTTAACCACTGAGCCATTTTTCCAGCCCCAAATAATTTTTTAAAGTGTGCCAGGGGTAGTGGCTCACATCTTTAATCCTAGCATTTTGGAAACAGAAGCAAGTGGATCTCTGAGCCTGAGACCAACCTGGTCTACAGTAGTGAGTTCCAGGCCTTCCAGGGCTGTAGTGTGTGACCTTGAATCAAAAAGAAAAAAGAAAAAAAGTCAGTAGGTGACTCAGAAAGTCCCATGAAGTTCACTCCCAGTGCTGCCCCTGCCAGGGCCAATTTAAACACCGATTCCCTGTCAGATAGCCTGTAGCTACCCCCTGTCTTGCATTGATCTCGGAGAGGCAGGAAAAAGGGAGGCTGACCTGGGACCCAACTTGAACTTGTCGCTTGAGGGAACAGCATGCCTTATAGATAAGCTGAATTCCTGGCTGTCCTGGTCCCTGAGTGAGGCAGGAGACTGAGCCTGCCCGGGGCTTTGCTTTCGATTCATGTGCAGCCCGTGGTTTTATTTGCTTCTCGAACATCCAGAAACATCCGGGAGCCAGCTGATCTCCTCGAGGAAAAGCGACTTCAAGCAGAACTGAGACTTGTAAACAGCTGTGGGATTTCACGGAGGGCAGAAGGTGATGAAAACCTCTGGTGGATCCTACGGCTTTGATCAGGAAAGAGAGGGATCCCCCCAGGCAGGGTAGCAGGGGTCAGAGGAGGAATTTGAACCCAGGCTGAACAAGGCACTCCTTGGTGTTTCTTGCAGGAAATTCAAGAAGGGCAGGAGTAGCTGATGGTTGGTTCCCCGTTGTCTGGGGCAGGGGTGGGTTGTCTTGATGGGAGAGATACCCACCCCTAATCCTGTCACAAGAGTGTGCATCCAGCCAATCTGGGGCTCTGTCTTACCTTCACCAGCCTGACCACATAACAGCCAGATTTGTTCTGGAATTAACCAGTTCATCTCCTAGCTCTTCCCAGAGCCAGGCTTATGCCCTTTTCCAGCCCACGGGAATTCCTACTTTGTAAACAGTCCCTATAGCCTCATACCTGTGTTGTCTCAGGCAGGCCCTGAGATGGGAGGCAGGGGCACCCATGAAACTGGAAACCCACCAACTAGAAAATTATTTGGACAAGCCTTATGAGAAAGAAACCTACTTCACAGAGTGAAACTAAGTGTTAACTCCCGGGACTGCAGAATCTCTCCATGGACAAGTCTACAGATAGTGGACCATGGGGCATCAGTCTGAGAGAGGTAGAGGAGAGATGAGTAGTTTCCACACTAGGAAGTTTCACGGCTCAGAGCAACTCAGCCCTCCCCTTTCCACTTCCACCCTGCTGCAGGACAGAGGGGACATCAGAAGAACGTCATCAAGCCAGGCAGTTCCATCTGACTACAAAGTGGGATGTCTCTTCCTCTACCTATCTCTCAGCCCCAATCTTCAGTAGCCACCGACTCCCAGTAGCCACCCTCCGCCCAGCAGTCTCCTGGAGACACACCCACTCACCCAGAAGGGGCATTAATTCAGAGGCCTGGGGAGATCTTTCTTACCCCAGTCTCGTCAGAGATGATCCCAGAACCACCTCTGCAGGTCATGGCCATGGGTCAGCTCTGTCCTAAAGTTCAGGACCCTAGCACTCCCTGTTTCAGCCTTAGTTGAACCCTTCTCTGGCCACACCGCCCAACTTCCCTCACATTCCCCACATCCAAACTAGATCCGAATCCCCAGGCAGTATTTCCCCAAGTAGTTCTCCCTAACCATTTCCTCTACCCCCAACCCAAAGCTGAACTTGCCCCTTCTTGGCTGTGCCCTGCCAGGGCTCATTTATTATTCTGTCCCATTTCTCCTTCCTCCCTCGTGTGACAGGTTGACATCCCTCATCTGCAAATCTAAAATGCTCCAAAGTCAGAAACTTTTTGAGTGTCAGCATAAAAGCCCAGCTGGAAAATTCTACAGCATGACACTGTGCTTAGCAGACAGAATCATTAATATCATGCAAAATTACCTTCAAGATATGTGAATAACATGCAAATGAAATATAAAGTTGAAGATGACCTTGAACTTACAGATCCTCCTGCCTCCACTTGCTGCCTGATTTTTATGTGATATTGGGGATTGAACCCAGAACTCTGTGCATGCTAAGCAGACATCTACCAACTGAGCTGCAGTCACAGCCTGGAGCTCGGGTTTTCTGATGAGGAATGTTTGACCCAAGCATGCCCTGTTCCATGTCAGGCCTCACTCATGTGCTTGAGAGTCGGGGAAGAAACTTTCTTCTTGACTGTTGTAGAACTTGTGTAGAGCACACATTAACCATGTGTCACATGCAACCATCAGACTATATTGTCATGAACAGGGACAGATGACCTGACTCTAGGATGTCGAGAAACCTGGAAGGTTTCGTGGAAGAGGAGTAACCAAGCTAGAGAGAGTGGTGGTGCACACCTTTAATGGCAGCAGAGGCAGAGGCAGGCGGACCTCTGAGTTTGAGGCCGGCCTGGTCTACAGAGCCAGTTGCAGGATATCCAGGGCTGTTACACAAAGAAACCCTGTCTCAAAAAACAAAACAAACAAATGGACTGGAGAGATGGTTCAGCCATTAAGAACACTGGCAGCTTTTCCAGAGGTCCTGAGTTCAATTCCCAGCAACCACATGGTGGGTCACCAGCCATCTATAATGGAACCTGATGCCCTTACTGTCACATGCCACAGCAGAATACTTAGTCTTCCAGAGTCATCCAATCTAAGTGACAGCTACTCAAGTCAAGCTGGTTTAAGGGAAACCCAAGTGTACAAATGTGTGCAGGTCCACAGCAGCAGCAATACAGCTGTGAGCCCTCAGCACTGTTCTCTCTCTCTCTCTCTCTCTCTCTCTCTCTCTCTCTCTCTCTCTCTCTCTCCCTCTCTCTCTCTCTCCACATGGTGGGTGAAGGAAAAGAACCCCGTTTCCCCCTTAAGAGCACTGTTTGAAGCCCCAGGCATGATGCTCATGGCTCAGCTGGCCTTCCAGGCCTGCACCTGTCACCTTGACAAGAGAGCATGGTCATTGCCCACCCTCACCAGTCCCACCTAATGATGGGGAGAGGGCTTGAGAGAAGAACTGGGCTTCTGTTATCAGAGGAAGGGGTTGGGAGCGGCTGACTACACACAAAAGGCCCTTCCCCCATTCCCTACCCTGGCCACATGGCGTGTACCCTGACCTCAGGGCTCAGGACAGGGTTTGCTTTCTTGTCACTATGTAACGCACTGGGGATCTAAGACATGGAAGGAATGTTCCTGTGTGTAACCCCTTCTCTCTCTCATGTTCCAGGGACCTCTGGGTCTGGACGGAAAGCCAGTAAGTCACCACAACAGAACTAGGTGGTCCTAGGGTAGGACTGCGGCTGTGCCGCTATGGGGGTGGAGTGGCCATGGGACACCTGAAGGGATTGGGAATTTAGTTCAGCAGCTATAGTATAGCAAGACAAAGCCACTTGTCGTATGAGTTCAAGTCCATCTCCACCATCTGCCGTCTGAGCAACCATGGAGATGCCCTTCCCCCTTCTTGCCTCTAAGCATCCTCTCCCAGGGGATGTTAGGGAGTTACGGAGAACCACGGGTAGCACAATCCCTAGCATTTAGTCAGCCCTCAAAGTCTACAAGTCCATCCCAGCTGGCCCTAGACACAGAAGGTCTAATGCATCCTCAAGACTTCCCTCATGGGTAACAGGCTAAGAGGTTCTCAGTACCTGCTTCAGTAGCCCATATTCCACAGGCACCCTCAGCAGATGAACAAGGTTCACAAGGAAATATAAGCACAATTAAATAAATAACAGGGTGTGGGCAAACAGGCAGGCAAATAGGCGTACTGGTAGGTGGGTGGCGGATGGATGGATTAATGGATGGGTGGACAGATGAATGGGTGGTTGAAAGGATGGATAGGCAGGTAGATAAGTGGATAAATGAGTGCATGGATGGGGTTGAGAAGATGGATAGGCAGGTAGGTGGATATATGAGTGGATGGATGGATGGATGGATGGATGGATGGATGGATGGATGGATGGGTGGGTGGGTGGATGGGTAAGCAAATGAGTGAATGTCTGGATAAATGAGCGGATGGGTAGATGGGTAGACTAATAGATGAGTGGACAGATGAATGGAACAGATAAACGGGTAGGTAGATGATGGGTAGGTAAATGGATGAATGCATGCATGAATGAGCGAGTAGATGAGATAAGTAAATGAATACATGTATGGATAAATGGGGGGTGGCTGGGTGACCTATTGAAGAATAGATGGATGGAGCCTAAAATTCAAGGGGCTGCTGCTCATAAAGGCTGCTCTTAAAGTGTTCTGGAGACTAGATGGAAACTCTGGACAATGGCCTCCTCCCCTGTAGAGACAAGGCATGGAATATGTGTGCCCTCTAGGCAGAAAAACTAGTGTATGCACCATTTTCCTACTCAGAGGATGCCTGTGGACCCCTGCTGCTGACCCCCACACCCTCACCTCCATCTTGCTGAGGACAGGTGTGGAGCTTCCAGAGACAGAAAGGGTAGCTTGACAGGCCTGTGTAGTGTCCCACTCAGATGCCCACACGTCCCTCTGCCCTCGCAGCCGTGAGTCAGCCAGAGTGGAGCAGCCTAGCTCACCTCACTCATGCCTGTTCTTTCTCTGTCTTCCTTACCCAGGGACTTCCGGGCCCCAAGGGGGAAAAGGTAAGTGCAGTTGGATGCTGTTCGGATACTATGTGCTGATGAAGGATGCCAGCAGCCAACTCTAAACCTCAGTTCCAGAGTGGAGAACTGAGCAAGTCAGCCCACCACCCCCAAGCCTCCAATTCCCCATCTGTAGAGTGGAGCAAACAATGCCTGTCTCCAAAAAGGGTCACAAGCTTATATACCATATGCTGGGAGGATTGGATCTGGGTTCTGGTGTCCCAGCAGAACATAACAAAGACAGTTTGTGAAGTGAACTGGAGCCTAGAGAGCTTAGAGCATGAACGATGATGGTGGATGGTGTGTCTGTGGGGAAGACACCATTTGATGGGCACAGATGGCAAAGAGCTATCTCAGGCAACCGCTCATGAAGTAGATGGATGGACTGATGGGTGGATGGATGTGTAGGTAGAGGAGCAGAAAGATGAATAAGTTAGTAATTAGATGAGTAAACAAACAGATGGATATAAAGATGGCCCATCCACTAATAGACAGATGCAGCCTAGACTCCAAAGAGCCACTGCCCTTGAAGGGACATAAAATCTGACAGCTCCGCCAGGCAGTGGTGACGCACACCTTTAATCCCAGCACTCGGGAGGCAGAGGCAGGTGGATCTCTGTGAGTTTGAGGCCAGCCTGATCTACAGAGTGAGTTCCAGGACAGTCAGGACTATTTCACAAAGAAACCCTGTCTCAAAAAAAAAAAAAACCTCTGACAGCTCTGGGCAATGGCCCCTTTAGTACTTGGCATTAAACATAGGACATAGGGCCAACCAAGCTTCTTGGAAGGAAGCAGAAGAAATTTGCATGGACATGATGGTGGAATCTGGAGGAAGAGGTGCCAGAGCAGAGCTCAGAGTGGCAGATCTAAGTGAGGCCCTTAGAAGCCGCGTGCCGCTATGCCTTAGTGATGTGGCCACTCGGGGACAACCAATCAGTGCCCCTCGCTACCAGCAGGGCTGAGAACGCCATGCAAAGACACGGGACCTGGTGGCTCAGCAAGTCGCCCAGCTGTGAAGACCTCAGTTTGTCCATCTGTATTAAAGCAGCTTCACAGAGCTATGGGGAGGTCTCATGAGGTCATGGTCTGAACGGTCTTTGTTGGAGGGCGGATGAGACACTGGTGCAGCTGGTAGGTATTGTGATTGTCTTCTTGGCAGGTTCTGACTGATGCCACCAAAGCCATAGAAACTACTCTGGGGCTGCATAAGCCATTTCAACGCTCATGGCTTTATTGTCTCTCCCTAGTCCAGGATTCAAAAGTTTCGAGAGGACACAGTGGAAGCAGCTGCCCACAGGCCACACTGTGCCTGAGATCTTGAATGTCTGAGGTGCAGCCACAGATGAGGAACTGCCTGGCTTCAATATGCTGGCTATGTGACCATGGGCATATTACTTAACCTCCTTGAGTCTCACTGTCCTCATTGGAAATGAAGATTCAAAACAAGGCCTGCCTATTTTTTCCCTTAGAATTTATGCCAAGCACAGAAAGAATGTTCAAGAGGAAATGTGGAAAAATAATGTAATCAGTGGCCATTGATTTCCCTGTGTTTGGTTCCCAGGGTGCCCCAGGAGACTTCGGCCCGCGGGTAAGAATGGAGCACGACCTCCCTCACCCACTACACATGGTTTGTTTAATATTATTATTATAAGGCATTTCTAGCTTTTCTTTGGGGGTCCCAGCTCACCACAGCTTATCCCAGAAAAATTCGAGTGAGACAACCCTTTCCCCCCCCCACCGTGGGAACCCCCAGGTATCCTGTCCCAACTGAGGCTGTTGCCTCCCACACAAATGACAGTTATCTGGTGGACATCCCGATTGTCATTCTCGTCACCATGGTGACCAGACAGTGGAGTTAGCCCTAGTCCCAACCAGATGCTGACCGTGTCACAAGACATCTGGCACTCAGGAAGAGTGAAGGTCCTGAGGTCAGCCCTGTCACCTCCCAGACCCACAACTTTGACAAGTCACTTTTCCCAGAGATTCAGACCCAGATTCATTATGACCATAAATGTCAGTAGCTGACAGCAGCACTCAGCATAGAGACAGGAGACAAGTGCCCCTCCAGCCTACCTGTGTCCCCTGGGTCCAGGAACCTATAAGTGCTAAATCTTAGGAGGTCCCTAAAAGTGGGTCTTGTCAGAGGAGCACTTGAGTAGCCCTAGAAAAGTTGTCCCTACCATTTCCAGAATGTTCTGGGCAGAGTACCCTGAGTGCAGAGACTCAGAGGTAGGCATTAGCTGCCCAGAGAAGGACTGCGTCACGTGAAAGGCTCCAGGCCCCAAAACATCTTACACAAAGGCCTCTTACTCACATCAGCAGTCTGTCATCTTAGAGCGGGGCTGGGTTGGGAACAAGGGAGCTGCCTGGACCCAGAGAACACCATCTGGCTGATGAAGAGAGGGGAGGAGAAAGGGCAAGGCACACAGGCCGGGCTTTGTGGTCCAGGTGGTCGAGCAAGACCCAGCTCTGCAACGTCAAGGCTCAGAGCCCAGATTTTATAAAATGACAACGGTGGGTCCCACAGTCACAGGGTGTTTATTGTGATAACAAGAGCTGGAGCAGGCAGGGGGATACGGCAGGCTGAGTTTCGATGGGCAGAGAAGTCCCTTGTTGGACCATTGACGGAGGTCAGGACCAAGGCCACAGAGGTGGTGAGATGTCTCTGAAGTCAAAGAAAGGATATTTCCCTTACTCTGTGGCTGCTGGGGGAAATGCTGGTTTCAGATGGGATTTGTGAAAGTTAATCTTCCCGGTGGGAATGCCCCGCCTGCAACAACCAGGATCCATCTGGTCCTAAGTTCACCAAACAGAACATTTCTCCCAAAGTGTCTTGCCTTCCCAGGGGTAGCCTGCCTCCTGTCATGGTATTCCAGACACTTGATCCCTAACTCCCCTCCCCACAGAAGGGCTTTGTGACTTGAAAGGACAATTCATCCTTCTCTGTCATGGTCCCCGGAGTTAGCCAAGGTCTCTCCTATGGTTGAAGGCAGAGTGTTCTAGGGGCCCAGGTGATGACACCCCTTACAAGGTTATTGTTGATGTGTCTGTTCCCACTCATCTGGGAAGCAGACACGTGTGACTTCCCATGCATCCTGGGGCTTCCTCCCAATTTGGCAGTGGGTTCTTAGAGATGCTTCTGGGAGCAGCTTTCTAAGAAGCCAGAAGTAACAGCTATCACACCTGTTAGGAGCTTCACCCAGTATGGTCCCAGCATCACACCACCCCTGTTCTGTTCTGTTCTGTTCTGTTCTGTCCTGTCCTGTCCTGTCCTGTCCTGTCCTGTCCTGATCTGATCTGTTCTGTTCTGTTCTATCCTGTCCTGTCCTGTCCTGATCTGTTCTGTTCTGTTCTGTTCTGTCCTGTCCTGTCCTGTCCTGTCCTGTCCTGTCCTGTCCTGTCCTGTCCTGTCCTGTCCTGTCCTGTCCTGATCTGTTCTGTTCTGTTCTGTTCTGTTCTGTTCTGTCCTGTCCTGTCCTGTCCTGTCCTGTCCTGTCCTGTCCTGTCCTGTCCTGTCCTGTCCTGATCTGTTCTGTTCTGTTCTGTTCTGTTCTGTTCTGTTCTGTTCTGTTCTGTTCTGTTCTGTTCTGTTCTGTTCTGTTCTGTTCTGATCTGTCCTGTCCTGTCCTGTCCTGTCCTGTTCTGATCTGTTCTGTCCTGTTCTGTTCTGTTCTGATCTTCTGTTACGGGAGTGGAGAGGTGGGTGTTGGTAATTTGGCACACCCAGCCACAAACTGCCTTTCTCTGGGCTGCGTCAGGTGGCTTTGCCTTGTGATTTTTGCAGTCCTCTCCTACTTTCTGACTGCACTGCCTGTTTGCCACGGCTCAACGCAGGCTTTATAAGTAGAGATCATCGTGGGTACAATCTCCATGTCCTCAAGGTAGATTGGCGGAGTGAGGGGGCCTGGCCTGCTGGTTTGCTGTGCTCCCCAACCCCTCCCTACTCATCCTGTGTTTTCAGGGCCAGACCTCAGCCATCCAATCCTGGAAAGAGAGGGGGAAACGGTTAGGGGAAGAAAATAAAGTGGCACACGCCTTACTCCAAGTAGCAGGCGGCAGAGCAGGCAGTACTCTGTGAGTTCAAGGCTAGTCTGGTCTACATAGCAAGCTCTGAACAAGCCAAGGCTAGTTCTACATAATGGGACTTTGTCTAAAAAAAAATAGAAACACAAGCCTGTACAGGAGTCAAAACTTCTTTCTATCTTGGTAAATCAAGTCCAAGCCAGGAGTACCCAGTCTGGAGCCTCGGAGCTATGAGCAAATGAACGGGGAGGGGCAGGGGTAGAATCCTTCTGGATTCAGTGCTGAATGAAATAGGAATGTCCTCTCATCGTTACTGACTTCAGACAACCTAATGGCAATGCTAATTTTGGGTCTAGACTCTCTGATCAGGGCCCTGGCCACGCCATACTGAGCAGGAAATCTGAGTGGAAGCCCTAGGGAGCTGCCAGGCATTTATTTATTTATTTATTTATTTATTTATTTATTTATTTATTGAGTATGGCCTGTAGTTTGCTAAAGAGGTGAGCTCTCTCCTGGTGAGGGGGAGGAGACGCAGCTTCAAAATAATATCTGAAAAAGACCAGTGGCAGCTCTGGCATGAGGTCCAAATCCCTAGAACTGAAACAAAGTGCCCAGTGGGTGTGGCAGCCCGCCTGCAATTCCAGCTTCAGAAGGCAGAGAAGATCCCCACAGCGAGCTGGCTAGCAAGACTAGCCTCATGGACTGAGCTCTGGCTCTGAGTGAGAGACCTCAGCCCAACGAATAAAGTGGAAGAGCTGCTAAGGATGATCCTGACATGGACCTCGAGCCTCCACACGTATGCCTGCACACATATGTGCGTCCATGTGTGCGTGTATACACGCGCGTGCGCATGCGCGCGCGCGCGCGCGCGCGCACACACACACACACACACTGGGAAAAAAAACTAAAAATAGAAGCTGGAAAGTTGGCTGATAGATGAAGAGCACTGACTGCTCTTCCAGAGGACCCAGGTTCGATTCCCAGCACCCACGTGGCAGCTCACAATCATCTTTAACTCCAGTTCCATAGAATCTAATGATGTCTCCTGACCTCCATGGACACCAGACACACTGGTGCATAGACATACATGTAGTGAAAAAACATATTAAATAAAGGAAAATTAATTTTTAAAAAACCTAAAAATAATACTGGACATGATAATGCATGCCTTTAATCCTAGCAGTCGGGAGACATGGGTAGGTGAATCTGTGTGAGTTCCAGGACAGCCAGGGCCATACAAAGAAACCCTGTTGCCCTGGTAACAAAAGACTCAGTTTTTCTTAGTTTAGTAGCCCTAAATAAATGATTGCCTTCCCCACCCCCGGCACTTCATCTGCATGAGGGGAGACAGCTTGGCCCTGGCCAGCTGTTCACGGAGGCTGCATTAGACCATCTTCACTCTCCAGGAAGTGCTTGCTGGACTCACATAAGGCTTTTTCCTTTCTTTGTTGTCAGAAGTCAGGAAACACTGTGCCGTGACCTGTGCCAGTCACACTGTGTGCTTCGTTTCTTGCAGCACAGGCCATGAAGTGGGGGTTTGGCATGCCTGAGGTCTGACCTGGTACTAACACCAGTTAGATAGTCAGGGATTCTGTGCGACCTAAGACTGTGTGGCTCTTCATTGCCTGCTGTTATTATTGTCTTTTTATTTTGCAATCACTGTAAATTCACTTGCATGCATAGTAAGTAATTCCCTGTGTACTTTTCATGCAGTTGTGCCTAAGGTGACGTCGAGCACCACTGTGGTCCAGCCTGTCAGTCTGGAAGCTGATGGTGATTTAACCCACCAGCCATACTCAGATTTCCTCGGTTTACACGTACTTGTGTGCACACGAGTGTCTGTGCTTGAACATGACTGTGTGAGTATGAGTGTATGTGTCTAACTGTGTGTGCACAGTCAAGTGTATGAACCGGTGTAGATGAGTGTGTGTAAATGTGTGTGCTTGACTGGGGGTACATGAGTGTGTGAGATTGTGTGAATGAGTGCGTGTCAGTATATGTGCTTGACTGTGTGTATGCATGGGTGTATGTGTATGAGTCTGTGTGAATGTGTGTATGAATGTGTGTGTGTGTGTGTGTGAGTGCATGTGTGTGTGCAGGTATTTTTTTCTTCTATGCAGTGTTAACATATATGGACTCGTGAAACCCACACAAAGATCCCTCATGCTCTCCTTTCCTACATAGGATCACTTCCTGCCCTCATCCCTAGCCTCTGGCAACCACTAATTTCCACCTGTTTAACTTTTCCATTCAAGAATATCAGGTGCTCGGCACATACCTTTAATCCCAGCACTCGGGAGGCAGAGGCAGGTGGATCTCTGTGAGTTTTAGGCCAGCCTGGTCTACAAAGTGAGTTCCAGGGCAGCCAGAGCTGTTACACAGAGAAACCCTGTCTTGTAAAATAAAAAATAAAATACCAGGTTGACCTTGAAATCACAGAGATCCACCTGCCTCTGCCTCCCAAGTGCTGGGGATAAAGGCCTGTGCCACCGCTGTCTGACTCTGGAACCCATTTTGTTATTCAGGCTGGCCTTAAGTTTACAGTGATCCTCCTGTCTCAACCTCCCAAGTGCTGGACTTTGCCTGTTCCTTTTTTGTTTACTGCTGGATGAATGACATGGCATAATATGACACATGGCTCAGCCTCTTGCCTGTGGGAGGATATTTTGAGAGCTTCCATTTTGGGCACTTACAAAGAAAACCACTGCAAATATCCACCTGCAGTTGTGTGTGAGCATAAAATAAACGCCCACTCATGCATGCCTGCCACTTTTAATGCAACAAGAGAGGACCAACAGGGATGTTCTTGTCAGAGACACTCTGTCTTACCCACCCAGCACATGTCATTTCCGCTCCTGACAACAGATCCAGGCTTCAGATGTAGAGAAGGTGGCAGCAAGGTCCTATTGGGTCTGTTCCACAAAGGTCCCCTCCTGCAGCTACCAAGAAGCAACCAGAGCCCAATATCAAAGCCTTGTGGCTGCCTTAAGGGCTGTGGAAAAGGAAGGCATGGGGTTGCCCATCTGAAAAAGCCTCTTTCTGGAAGCTAGACCCCCTCACCCTCGGGGTCAAGTCCAGCCATATGTCTTTCAGGGAGCCCAAGGGCAAGATGGAGCTGCAGGACCACCTGGGCCCCCTGGACCACCTGGAGCCCGGGGCCCTCCTGGTGACACTGGGAAGGATGGCCCCAGAGGAGCTCAAGGCCCAGCGGTAAGAGAAGACATGGAACTGAGGCCTCCAAGGACTGGTCCTATGTTGGCGCACACTCTGAACCCTGATCCCCAGAGCCGACTCCAAACCAGCTTTATTCTTAGTAGGCCCAACACCAACCATTACCCAATGCACACACTCAACCTAGACCCAACTCTAACCCCAAGCCCACCCACAGCCCATCTCAGACCCTTATGCCAACCAACCCTTCAGTCTGACACAGAGCTGCTTCCTAGCCCTAATCAGGACCTTGACCTCAAATCCTGTCCCGTGCTCCAGCTCAGACAGTTATCCAGACTCTACCCCTAAGCCTGACCCCATGCCCAAGTCTAACCCTAAAAGACCAGTGGACCCAACCTTGAGTTGCAAGCTCAGTCTAAATCCTCACCCCAGCTCTGACCCAGATACCCACAGGTGAGCCCTTTATCTGCAATTCTCCACCAACCCCTATTCCTCTCCCTATCCCCTCTCCCTCAATACTAACCAGTGTGCCTCAGTTTCTCCCCAAGGTCATGAGAGGCCAGTCCACAGAAAATAGTTCTCTCATCCTAGCCCAGAGACTCTAATTGGTCCTTCCCTCCAGTGCAGAACCTCTACTAGACTGCCACCAGGGGCTCCTATTGGGCAGGTCCTCTCAACTGGCTCATCCATCCATTGTCACATTGGGTGCATAACTCCCAAAGCCTCAACCTTCCCATCTGTGAAGTGGGAACAATAACAACCAAGTCTCAGGGTTGAAAGGTGAATTTGGGTGCTCTACTTAGAACCCTTGCTCTAAGGGCTCATGTCCTGGCATGATGTTCAGGCTCAGTTAATGTGACATCCTTGGGTCACTCACTGATATTTTCACATACCTCCCTAGGGTCCCAAAGGAGAGCCTGGACAAGATGGCATGATGGTGAGTGTCCGGCTGTTTACAAGGCTGGAGTACAGGGGTGTGTCTCCCAGAGGTGGAAGCCTCTTTCCCACTCTAAAAGCTACTTTCTTCATTGCTGTGACAAAGCACATGGCAAAGGAGACTTAAAGTGAGAAAGACTGATTTCTGCTCATAGTCTAAGGGTGCAGTCCACGGTGGGGACGGTGTGGTGGCCAGAGCATGAGGCAGCTGGTCCATCATGGTGGGGACGGTGTGGTGGCAGGAGGTGGCTGAGGCATGCGTCACAGTGTGTCTACATCCAGGAAGCAGAGAGTTATGAATGGGTCACCTCCATTTATCCAGCTCAGGACCCCAGTCCACAGGGCAGTGTTGTCCCTTTTAGTGGACCGTCCCTCTTCAGTTGAACCTTCTGGAAACGCCCTCACAGACATACCTGGAGGTGTGTCTCCATGGTGATTTGATTCTGAATCAAGGTGACGAGATAAACCCTCACACCATCACATAACCACACCAGGATTATGTAGGTGTGGATGCTTGTGTGCCTATCCCTCTGCCCACAATGGGGATGTGGATGGGCAGTCAATGCCTGAACAGAGTTCTAGAACCTTCCTGGGCGAGAGTCTGCAGTTCACTTTCCACCTTTCGAGCCCTGACACAGCCACTGTCAAGGCACAAGAAGTCTGTCCTAGAATTTGACTGAGCATCCCTGCTCCTAGCCATGCCTGCCTCTTCCTCTGGGATGTGGTGTCACCCTTGATAAAAGGAAAATGGCAAGACAGACCCAGGAGTACTAGGAATGCTCAGTGTTCTTAACCACTGAGCCATCTCTCCAAGACTCATATATAACTTTCAGAATGACTTTTTTCCCACATTTAGCACAGTATCTAAGTTTTTAGATACGTTAGAATTTTGTTCCTTTTTTCTTTTGTTTTCTTTTGGGGGGGTTTGTTGCTTAGGTTTGGGTTTTTCTTTTTATTTAATTTATTATCATTTTATTGTTTTGTGTATATAAATCTTTAGCCTGCATATAAATTTGTGTACCACATGGGTACCTAGTTCCCTTGGAACCCTGAAGAAGGCTTCAAATCCCTTTGCACTGTTTTGGGGGCTTGGGAGATATTGTTGTTTGTTTGTTTTCTGTGTGTTGTTGTTTTGTCTGTGTGATGATGTCAGATTCCCCTGAAACTGGAGTTACAGACAATTGTGAAGCACCACGTGGGTGCTGGGAATTGAACCTGGGACCTCTGGAAAAACAGCCAGTGCTCTTAACCACTGAGCCGTCTCTCCAGCTCCCTGGGCTTTCTTTTCATTAGTTTTGGGTCTTGTTTTTGTTTTCCTTTCTTTTATTTGGGGCTTGAGTTCTTTATTTTTATGGTGTGTGTGTATGTGTGTGTGTGTGTGTGTGTGTGTGTGTGTGTGTGTGTGTGTGTGTGTGTGCCTGTATATGTGTATGGGCACACACACACCACACCACCAGCATAGAGGTCAGAGAACAACTTGGAGACATTGATTCTCTCCTCCTATGTGGATCCCAGGGATTAAACTAAGATCGTAAGGTTGGGCAGCAAGTTCCTTTACTGGTTGAGTCATCTCACCAGCCCTGATTTGGGTTTCTTGAGACAAGGTCTCATGTATCCCAGACTGGCCCCAAATTCACTATGTAGCCAAAGATGACCTTGAACCCTGACCTTCCTACCTTCACACACACACCTGTCTAACACCTCTCTTCTCTTGTTCCAGGGCCCCAAGGGACCTCCAGGACCCAAGGTGCGTACTCTGTTGGTTGGCCCCACTTCCCAACCTCTTCTCCCAACTTCCCCAGTGAAACTGAGGCAGTGAGATCAGGAGACCCAGTTCAAATGAGAGACAGGTTACTGTATGTTAGATCTCAGTTTACTCACCTGTTAAATGGGGGCATGGCAGACCTTTCCTACCTTGACTTCACATCAGACTGTGAGGGTTCATTCATAAGACATCTTGGCTATTTGGGTTTGTTGTTGTTTTGGGGGTCTTGAGGGGTTTGTATGGTTGTGTGTTTCTTTGGGTTGGTTGGTTGGTTTGTTTGTTTTGGTGGTGGTGGTGTTTTGAGACAGGATTTCTCTGTGTAGCCCTGGATATCCTGGAACTCACTCTGTAGACCAGGCTGGCCTTGAACTCAGAGATCTGGCAGCTGGGATTAAAGGTATGTGCCACCACTGCCTCATACTGTTTTTAAAAAACAAACAAACAACTTTATTTTCTACGTAATTTTAGGTTCGAAGCAAAATTGAGGGGAAGATACAGAGCTTTCTTGTATGGTGCACGCGCACACACACACACACCCTGCACACACTGGCCCAGCCCACCCCCACACAGCAGCCTCACACCCCACCACCTCTGCCTCTCATGTGTATAGTTTTTGGGGCTTCCCTTATTGTCAGCATCCCCTGTCAGAGCAGTACATGTGTCACAATTGAAATCACAATGACACATTGTCCCCAAAGTCCACAGTTCACAGGAGGGTGCCTAATGCGGGACAAATGCATAATAACTTGTGCCCTCCAGTAACATAGCTAACAATAATTTCACTGTCTTAAAAATCCCTTTTGATGACTAGGCAGTGGTGGCGAATGCCTTTAATCCCAGCACTCGGAGGCAGAGGCAACTGGATCTCTGTGAGTTCTATACCAGCCTGATCTACAGAGTGAGTTCCAGGACAGCCGGTGCTACACAGAGAAACCCTGTCTCAAAAAGCCAAAATAAAAAATCCCCTTTGCTAGGGATTGGGGAGATGGTCCAGTGGGTAAAAGTGATTGCTCTTTAAGCATAAGGACTTGAGTTCGAATCCCCAGCACCCAAAGGAAAAGCCAGGCATGGCTGTGTGTCTGTAACGTCAGCATTTGGAGGCAGAAACAAGTGAACCCGAAAGCTTCACAACCATCTGAGATTAAACAAGCTTCAAGATACACTGCCCCATGCTCCAGAAGGCTGCCCCAGGTGCCCCCCCCCCCCCCGTCTCCTCCCAGCCCTTGAGCACTTCTAGGCACAAAGCCTTCTGGTTTTTGCCCTTGTGTCTGTTCAGGCTCTGGTCCCTAAGGATGCTCACCAGCTGTTTGCTGAATCAGCGAATTTACTCCCATTCACTTGTCCATCCTGTGTCTCAGAAGCCTCCTGAAGCTGGTTCTAGGCTGCTTGTAGGAATTGAGATGGTTCTGACTCAGACTCTGCCTTAGAGGGTTAAGTTCGGGGAGTACCTGCCACTAGTGCCTGGACCAAACAAGTGTGCAGTGAGTCTAGAGCAAGTAGGGACCAGCTGGACCACTCAAAATGTGGCCAACATGTCTACCTGTGATGGCTTCAGTCTCAGCTGTTATCTTCTCAGGGAGATGATGGGATGCCCAGCCAGCCAGGACTCCCTGGACCCCCAGGGCCCAAGGTAAGTATAGACCCTCTTCCTCCACCCTCCAAAGTTACCGTCTACGGTATGCCCCTATCCTGGCCCTTTCACATCCTGGGGCTGTGGGCCAATGCCCAGGACAGGCCAGAGGGAGGAAGCAGTGGGCCCCAGACACCCTGGCAGCAGCTTGTGTCTCACCCAGGCCATCTGTCTCCCCTAAGTCCTCTTGGTTCCCACCTTACTTCCTCCACCCCCTGCCTAGTGCCAAGCTAGGAATAGGATGTTATCTTCACACCTTGGTCCCCAAACTCTGTCACAGCCACCATGCCCTAGCCAGCCTTACTCCAAAATGTCCCTTGGACCAAGCATGGTGGTATACACCCATAATGTCAGCACTCAGAGCCTGAGACAGGAGGATCTGAGTTTGAGGCTAGCCTAGGCTGCAAAGTGAGACTCTGACTCAAAAAAAAAAAAAAAAAAAAAAACAAGACGCTGAAGAAATGGATGTCAGTAAAACACCTGCCTTGCAAGCACGAGGACATGAATACATGAATGATCCCCAGCACTCCAAGAGAAGCAGGCGGATCTCTGTGAGTTCTAGGAAGCCAGAGCTGACTCAAAAGCTAAATTTACGTTGGTGGCGCACGCCTTTAATCCCAGCACTCGGGTGGCAAAGGCAGGCGGATCTCTGTGAGTTCGAGACCAGCCTGGACTACCAAGCGAGTTCCAGGACAGCCTCCAAAGCCACAGAGAAACCCTGTCTCGAAAAACCAAAAAAAAAAAATAAAAATAAAAAAATAAAAGTTTATTTATTTAAGAGAGCAAGCATGGTAGCTCCTCAGCAGTGAGGAGGTGGGCCCACAGCTCCCTGGGGTTTAGTGGCTGCCAGGTTTACCTATGTAGCGATTTCCAGGCCAGGGAGACATATCCTGTCTCAAAAACAAAAACAAAGAAACTCTGGGTGGTGCTTAAGGAATGGCACCCAGAGGTCCCAACATCCACACATATGTGTGCACACATGTGCACCTGCACATACACACACACACACACACACACACACACACACACACACACACACAGTCTCTTGAGCTGCCCCAGGTTTGTGCCAAGACCCAGACCAGAAGGGGATGGTTATGGTCCAAAATCCCTGGGGCTAGAGAGAGACTTTATCTCTATCCCCCAACCCAGGAGGGCCACCCTCACCAGGAGGTCTAAGCACAAGGCCCCCGTGCCTCCGGGTTAGCACTTCTGCTTGCTTTCACTGATAATTTCTCCATTTCAGGGTGAGCCAGGGGATATGGGCCCCCAAGGAGAGAATGGAGTGGACGGTGCCCCAGGACTGAAGGTGATATCACAATGCTCTGCCCAGTACTGAAGACCCCACTGATACTGTCACCCAGTCACCAGGGGACGATGTGATCTTACCCCCTTAATTTGTACTTTTAAAAGTTCCAGAGGTCCTGGGCCAGGAGTCCCCTGTGACTCACAAGCAGTGGTCTGAGGAATGGTGGCCCATAGCTCAGAGCCAGCAGCAAGACCTCACTTAGGCTCAGCTCTGGGGTCAGCTATCATGTAGTCTTGGGCTCCTGGGCCTCAGAATCTCCACTACTACTCAGTGCAGAAGGCTGTTCTTATACACCGGCTGTGAGGTCCCAGTGTATTGACCTGGACTCTTTGGGGAAGAGGGGACCAGAGGTAAGATAGGGCATAAGAATCTCACGCACCAGCAAGCTTCTATGTGTCTCCACAGGGGGAGCCCGGCCACCCAGGTGCAGATGGATCCCCAGGACCCCGGGTAAGCAGCATCCCTTCTGGTCACACCGGTGAGAATCCAGGGTCCCAGTAGCTTCAGAAGCCCTTTGTCCCCAACAGGGGTTCCAAAGGATTGGTGAAGCAACAAGGCCTAGGGGCATCTTGTTTCTTAAAATTTTTAGTGATTGTAAAATTTTTCATAACACATGCCTACAGTGAAAATGAAAATATGGATTATAAAGGGAAGAATCCCACTTGCTGTTAAGTAAGAGCTCTCTCCCTTTCCAGGTAACTATATACTCTTCTAGAATCTTGTTCCCATATTCAAACATTAGTCTTCAGTTTATCATTAGGCATGACATTACCTGCTTTGGGGTGGTCTTGCTTTTCCAAGCCTTCTGCAAGAACAGCAAGTGCTCTTAACTGCTGAACCATCTCTCTAGCCCCTAGTCCCAGATCATTTGTAACCAACTCATATGTGTCACCAGCATCTGAAAATGTAACTCAATGCTGCCAGCAGTCTAGCCTAAAGAGTCCTACTCAGAGCCTGAGGGACTCTACTCAAGTACACCCTGGTTCCTGACATACAGATGTTATTTTTTTAATTATGTATATAATACATGTACCTTTGGGGGTTGTACATGTTAGTGCAGTGCCTGCAGAGGCCAGAAGAGGGCATCAGATCCCTTGGAGCTGGAGTTACAGGTGGTTGTGAGCTGCCTTATGGGCGTGCAGGAAACCAAACTCAGGTCTTCTACAAGAGCAGTATGCACTCTTAACCACTGAGCCATCTCTCCAGCCCCAAGAGGAAAGCAGAGTTAGTGAGTTTGTTTATGAAGCAGAAAGCTATGTACTTGAAGAGAACTGAGTGAAGCCATTTAGAGAAGAATGTACCTAAGTGGTTCAGCTATATATGTGATCTGGGATTTTAAAGCTACTTAATCTAGGACCAAGCTTAGACATTAGGAAACCCATATGCTGGGATATTTTGTTTCCTTGCCCACAAAATTCTGTCCTTGAAGAGACCTTTTCTTTTTATACACTGAAAGCTTGCAGCTGGAAAAGGGAGTTAGAAAGCATAGATCAAAGGACTCCTTTATACATATGCCACAAGGAGGTTGGACTTGAGGCATAGTTCATTTGAAACTTTTAGTCATCCAGTCTGGGATGCTTCTCAGAAAGAGTCCAGCTCTTTTTGCAGATGATCTTGTCTGTTAGAATGAAAACTCCCAGGTGTCAGCCAGGGACAGATCAGAATGGAAGCCAGGAAGACTGAGGGGCCCTCTCCCTCCTCATGCCCCTTGCATTCCCTAGATAGCTATCTTGCCTTGTGTGGACATGTCTTGATGCTGACTATCGCATTCCATCCTTGGCTATGTTTTCCCAGGTCATTATACCCCCTGTCCCGTGGGAGCCGGGGAAATGGCTCAGCTAAAGCACTTAGCAAGCGAGCATGACAATCAAGTGGGTGGGTGAGGTGACCAACACATAATTCCATGGAAGGTGGAGATAGGGATCCCCAGATCAAGCTGGCCTGCAAGACTAGCCGTATCAGTGAGCTCTGGATTTAATTGAGCTCACTAATTCACTACGGTGGAACCAGCCTCATTTGGTCAACACAGTGTCTTAGAAGAGATTTGGGGCAGTTGGGTTGTTTTATTTGGACACCTTTAAAAGTCTCAAGAACTCCCCACCAAAATGAGGCTTTCTAGGGTGCAGATACAGTTCAGACCCTAGAGTGCTTCCCTAGTATACATGAAGCCCTGGCTCAAAGCTTTAGGTTTAATCTCCGACACTGCATAAACCAGGCATGGTAGTGCACACCTGTCACCTGAAGTCTCAGCACTTGGAAGGTGGAGGCTGAAAAATCAGAAGTTCAAGGCCATCCTAAGTTATATACAAAGTTTGAGACCAACCTGGCCTAGAGATCCTATCACACACACACACACACACACACACACACACACACACACACACTCGAATGCACGTAAGCTGGGCATAGTGGTGCGTGTGTTTTATCCCAGCACTTGAGAGCCAATAGCAGTTAGATCTGAGTTAGAGGCCAGCAGGGTCTACATAGCAAGTTCCAACATAGATAGGGCTACACAGTGAGACCCTGTCCCTAAAAAATAAAATAAGCAGTATTGGGCTCTCTGTTTTCTCTGAGAACTGGACCTCATTGGATTTGAATACCCACATGAAGGCAAATCATAGGCAACCTCTCGGGCCAAGTGGCAGCCTGTTCTTTCCTCAGTTGGCCCCAGGCTCCCTGTCACTTCCCTCATGTGGCCTTTAATGAACAGACAGCATGCTATGATGACCGCGGCGCACGAGCATGCCTGTAGCCTGGGTGGGTGGCAAACTCTTGGGTTCATCTCTGGATGTGATGGAGATAGCTGGTATGTTACCCATGATGCAGCTCTTCCTCTCCTGCCTCAGGGTCCCCCAGGCCTCAAGGGAGAACAAGGTGACACGGTGGTAATCGACTATGATGGCAGAATATTGGATGCCCTGAAGGTAAGAGTATTCCTGGTGGGCCCTGGATGCACCCTTTATGTCCATTTCTGAGGGAACAATGGCTCACTATGTCTTACCTATGGGACCAAAGACAGTTTAGCACGGAGATCTGGGTTTCATCAGGTACCTAATGTGGAAATTGGTCCTGTGTGGAGATCCACACAGTGCTGAGAGACTTTCTGTGAATGTGAATCAGAGAGCCCTGAGCTTCCCACAAGCCAGGCAAAAAAGGAAAGCACTCTCCCCAAACCCAACTGTGCCTCTGGGCATTTCAGGAGAGCTAGAATTCCTCATAATTACTATAAGGGACAAATAGAACAAGCCTGACCAAGGAGCCTCGGGACCCACATGGTCTCTGAGCACCAATTCAAAAAGAGATGGGTGCCAACTGCTCTTGCGTTCAGGGAGGGATGGGATGGGGTGAGGTAGTCATCAGAAACTAAAGTGGACATTAGTGCTCAACCCAGCTTCAGCATCAATTCCAGTTACCTCCCACAGGCCTCTGGGAAGTACAAGTTGATGATAACTATGACCCACACTGGTCTGCGTGGTGTGGTGTGGTGTGGTGTGGTGTGGTGTGGTGTGGTGTGGTGTGGTGTGGTATGGGCCTGAGGTGCATGGTATATCCCAGGTTTATGGGAAACAGAGAGCCAGGAGGCAGATGTGGGTACCAGAGTGGGAGGAGGACTCAATGTCATGGTCAATGGGAGTTGCAGTTGGTTATTAAGTGTAAGATGTCAAACTACCAGTGTACTGGGGTGGCCAGGTGGCGTTGTGTAAGTGTGTGAGCATAGGGAGAGCTTGAAGTAGGGAGCTCACTGGGGACATGGATGCTGATCCTGAACCTAAAGAGGGTGGGAAGGGTGGAGAATAAACCCAGAGCCATCAGAGTAGGGACATCAACAAAAAGGGGGACGGCTGGGAAGAGATAACTTGAAACAGGGTCAGAGGAGCTGGGCAAGGTGTGGCCTCTGGGTGAGGGCATGAGTTGGCCGTCTCAGTGTGTTGGTACAAGAGGCTAGAATGATGTCAGTGCTTGAGATAGTGTGGACACATCCTTTACTGTGTCACTGGGGAATTTCTGAGAAAGCAGACAACAGATCCAGACAGTCAGTGAGGTCCCAGGACCAGCAGAGCAGGTCGTTGTTTGGGTTGCATGCTTGGCCTGTCTTGAATGCTAGAAATAGACTTAAGCTTCTTTTGAGGGACAAGGGTGGCCAGTGCCAAATCTTAAGCAGGAGAGTGTTAAAAAGAAAGTCATGTTTGAGGAGAATTTCTCTGAAAACAGAGGGACCTCCAGTTGTGGATACTAGTATCTCCTCCAATGGCCAGTACCCTCTTACTGGCCCCTCAGTAGACTTGAAAGCTAAAGCAAGCTGCATGCTGTAAGAGCTAATTTGACTGGGCGGGAAGCACGCTGCTGGGGACCTGACCTGAGGTGGTGAGGCTTGGTGGGCAGTGGAGTGTCTTGTATAACCATAGCTGGCTTGATCTTTTACATACAGGGTCCTCCTGGGCCACAAGGAGCTCCGGGGCCACCAGGGATCCCTGGAGCCAAGGTTGGTGTAGCTGCATTCATGGGACCCCCAAGTATTCATCTCTGGATCCCACTTCTCCTCTCCTCCCTGCTATGTATACCCCTAATTTCCTCCTGGCATACTTATGGGGCTTAGAGAAAGGGCTCCTGCACCTTCTTTAGACCCTAGTTCTTGAAGAGAGAGCCTGAAACTGAAGAATGGACCTCTTGGGACTACGTGGCCCACAGATGTACCAACCCTTCTGTGGCTTGTACCTGTTCACTACTCCTTGTCTGAGGACAAAGAACCCAGGGTGGGCAGGAGCTGGTTCTGACACCAGCACCCCTGGACTCCATGACCTAGAACAAGTCACTAAACCCTGCAAACCTAATCTTAGGCACCCCAGCCAGCAGGGACAGCCACCAGCTCCAACTGTCCTTCGGGCTGAATACACAAAGAGAGACAATGGGCACCATCTGGGAAGTGTGTCTTCAGGGACCCAACCACAGGGTCTGTTCTTACCTTGGGTCACTAACCCACTGACTGCTGAGGAAGGCATAATTCCTTTTGTCATTTGTTCCTTTCTAGGGTGAACTTGGATTGCCTGGTGCCCCAGGAATCGATGGAGAGAAGGTCTCTGAGCCTTTTATTTCTATGTCAATGCTATACTGGGTGGTGTGTGTGTGTGTGTGTGTGTGTGTGTGTGTGTCTGTCTGTCTGTCTGTCTGTCTGTCTGCCTTTTTGCCTGTGTGTCTATGTGTGTGTATGTGTCTGTGTATGTCTGTGTCTATGTGTATTTGTGTGTCTGTGTCTATGTGTCTATGTGTGTCTGTGTGTGTCTGTGTCTATGAGTTACTATGTAGACATCAGTGAGCATCTTCCCAGGTGTTATTCAATGTGTGTGGATGAATCTTTACTGCTGGGTCCCTAGTAGGAGAAACATCTTGGACATGTCACACAAAGCTCCTGACACATGAGCACAGAGTTGGCCTCATAAGGGCTGGAGCTCAGCAATAGAGCGCTTGCCTAACATCCATGAAGCCATGAGTTCAAGCCCCAGCACCACTACATAAATAAATAAGTACATACACACATAGATAAATAAATAAATTAATTAGTTAGTTAGTTAATGAAAACAAGGGGCTGATAGCCAGGCATGGTGGCACACTGCTTTAATCCCAATACTCAGGAAGTAGAAGCAGGCAATCTCTGTAAGTTCAAGGTCAGTCTGGTCTACATAGTGAGTTCCAGGACAGCTGAGGCTGCACAGAGAAACTCTGTCTCAGAAAACAAAAAAACAAACAAAACAAATAGGGTGGAGCCTGGAGAGACGGTTCAGTGATCAATAGCTCTTGCCGCTCTTACAGAGGACCTAGGTTTGGTTCCTAACACCCACTTGGAGGCTCACAACCGTCTGTAACTCCAGTCCCACAGGATCCAACTCTCTTCTGACCTCTGTGGGCACTGCACTCATGTGGTACACAGACATCCATTCATACACATAAAATAGGAACAAACAAAAATTCTAATTGAAAATAAAACAAGCCAGGCATTGGTGGCACATGCCTTTAACCCCGGCACTCAGGAGGCAGAAGCAGGTGGATCTCTATGAGTTCGAGACCATCCTGGTCTACCAAGCAAGTTCCAGAACAGCCTCCAAAACAATACAGAGAAACCCTGTCTCAGAAAAAAAAAAAAAAAGAAAAAGAGTTGGCCTCATGAGTGTCCCAGAGGGAACACACCAATCCCACATGCTCCCCAACCCCTCTATCTCATAAACTTCCCCTCCAAGGATACAGGAAAGCAGGGTTGGGGTGTCCCCATAGCACCCCTACTTCATTCAGTCAATATTCCCAGCATCCTAGGCTAGAGATGGAAACTCACAAGCAAAGAGTGGAGTGTAGGGTTAGATGTGCTGACACACACACCTGTAATCCCAACACTTAGAAACTGAAGTAGATGGATTAGGAACTCAAGGTAATCCTTGACTACTTAGCAAAAAAAGAGAGAGAGACAGAGAGACAGAGAGACAGAGAGAGGTTGAAGATGAGGAGGGATAGAAATGAATAGATGAGTGGACAAATGAATGAATTAACAAGCAAGGTAGGGCATATGGTCAAACTTAATAAGCCGAAAGGCCCACAAGGGTCAGGGGAGAGGAGAATGCCCACCAATCTCCACTGATTTCTTTTCCCGGTGGCTTTCAGGGCCCCAAAGGACCAAAAGGAGACCCAGGAGAGCCTGGGCCAGCTGGACCCAAGGGAGAGACGGGCGAGATGGGCTTATCAGGCCTTCCGGTAGGTGACTAGACCTGGCGGACGCAAGACCCTGAGGACTTGCTGATGATGGGGGCGGGGGTGTCCTCACATGAATGCCCTGCAGCCTACACAACCTCAGCTACAGAATGGCATTCACATCCCTACAGGAGCCCTTCAGGGGAGGTAGTGAGACACAGCCTGGCAGAAACCACTTAGCTGGGTGGCTCAGTAGCCTAACCCCCCTCTCAGTCCTGGAGCCCAGCATAGCAACCGAATCTCCCAGGGTCTCACTGCCCACATGTAATAACAAGCTTCCAGGCCTGGTGACAGTATGAACTGGACAGGACCAAGAACAGCAGCTGGCAGTAAACATCCCTGACTGTCATTGGCGTTTCTATGGCTCCTGGGGCTACATTAGAAAAGATATTTACCTCACAGCCCTTGTGCACCCCTGAACATGACTCAGCCAGAGGTGCCACTGGGATTTGAACCCTCGGCCTCTGTACCATGAGACAGTTTGTCTGTGCCATTGACACACTACTGTGCTCCTTACCCAGGGCATGTGACTTGGGGGAAACTGCTTTAAACAGAAGAGGCCAGCCCATGACTGTCCTGGTCAGGGAGGTGGCGCTGAGCACGGTGGGAGGGAGGTGACCTTAGGGTAAACAAAAGTTCACAGGACACTCTGCCCTAGGGTGCTGATGGTCCCAAGGGAGAAAAAGGAGAGTCAGCATCTGATCGCCTCCAGGAGAGCCTGGTAAGGGGAAGCTGAGACTGGGGGAGTCCTGAGCCTTGGTTCCAGAGAAGGACAGCCGGAAAGCGGGAGTGGTGGAGCTCAGAGTGTGTCCTCCACCTCATTTCCAGCTGAGACCCAGAAGACTAGGGTCCTTCACCGAGTTATACCTCTCTGGGGGCAGGAAGGGGCCTTGCCCAGGGGTTCAGGGTGTGGCACCAGGAGTGCTTGTAAGAACAAGGGGGATTCCAGAGGGTGGGCAGATGAGGGGTAACAGGCACAGGGTAACTAAACCCATTTCTAACCCTTCCTAGGCCCAGATCATTGTGGAGCCAGGGCCCCCCGGTCCTCCTGGCCCCCCTGGCCCCATGGTAAGGACATTTTAACCTAAAGCAGCTGGGATAGCAAGTGGTTAGTGAACCTGGGTCAGGGTGTGGGGCTGGGGTGTGCACATCAGGTCAAGAGGTCAGAGCTCCAGGCAGGGCCACAGGAGCCAGTGACTAGCCTGATTCAAGAGGGGCTTGGCCTTGAAGTTTTCCCTCAGCCACACAGCCCTATTGATCTGCTTTCTTCCTGCAGGGCCTTCAGGGGATCCAGGGTCCCAAGGTGAGTGCAGACACACCCTATTCGTTCAGAAAGTTGTGTTAATGAACAGCGTGAGGTCCCTGTCTCAGCCACTGTGTTCCCAGTGCCCTAAACAATGTCCCCAGAGCAGCCCTGCCCCATGTTTTGGCTCTGTCCTTTCCTTCTGCCTCCCCCTTCCAGCCCCTCCCCCACCCCAGCGGCCTCCCTGCCCACTTCCTCCCACTCCCCATGCCACCTTCCCCTGCTCCCCATCCCTTGTCCCCTCCCCAGCTCTTACCCATGCACATCTGCGTCTTGACTGCCCACCACCCGGACCTGAAGCCTTGGGTTTGGTACGCATTTCATCATGTCATATTCTTTCAAAACCTCAAGTGCAGTGCCATGTGCCGGCCCCAAGGGAGGCAGACACAGAGTGAAAGACTAGCTGGCCTCGCCTCTTGTCACACAGGATCTAATCTCTCCCTCCCCAGCGCAGAGGCCCAGTGGAGGACCCTGGGTCATAGAACCCTGACCTGGTGTAGTGGCCAAGAACTGTTTCTGATCCTATTTTGTCCCAAGCTTCAGCACACTATTGTTTGAAGAGACATCTATTGACGGTCTTGGTCCAAAGCTGGGCTTCAAGAAGCTGGTGGCAGACAGCCCAACTGTTTCTGTAGCATCAGGGTGTCCCATGTGCGGAAGAAAGGAAAATGTATACACATGCAACTCGCTCTATCACGGAGCAAGCTGGGGCCAGGCCTGACAGAGCCTGGAGACTCTCTCTCTTCCCTCTGTCAGGCACAGCTCAGTCTCCACACAGACCTGAGCTTTCTGTCCTGTGTGCCCCGCCCCCTCCCCTGACTGGTCTTCCTCTTCACTTCCAGGGCCTGGATGGAGCCAAGGGAGAGAAGGGTGCATCGGGTGAGAGAGGTCCTCATGGCCTGCCTGTGAGTGTCATGAGCATTGTTTGTCCTAGAGGTGTTGCATCCTATGCCACCGTGCCTGCTAACCCTCTCCTTTTCCACCCAGGGACCAGTCGGCCCACCAGGCCTTATTGGGTTACCAGGAACCAAAGGAGAGAAGGTAACTTACCTTGAGGCCCCTGCCCATTGTGATCACATATCCCTAATGTCACTCAACTTTTGGGGTTCATCCCCTGTACCCTGCTGAGTCCCTGGACCCCACGGGACGAATTACTATGGTGCTCTGTGACCAGCCACTGGACTGAACTCCCCAGCACCTGAGTACCTAACATCCCATCTCCACCCCCTCACACGCCCTCTGTATCTCTCCTCAGGGCAGACCTGGAGAGCCAGGACTGGATGTAAGTTTCTTATGATTCGCTGTGAGTGATGGGACCCTCCTGTGTATGTCTTCTGCTCTCTTGTTGCCCATGCATATAGCAACATGGTTAGTTCAAGTGTGGCCCATCCCCGAGGGGTGCTGCTGCCTGGCTTCCCTGTGTCCTCGGTGTAAAGTCCAGTAACATGCCCTGGAGTACTCTGGGGTTGGATGCTAGGTTGACAGCAAAGGCACAGTGGAAAACTGACACAACTTGATGGCTCAGAAGAGAATGGGTGGATGAGCTAATGGTTTGACGGATGGTAGGGATGGATAGGCACAGACAGACAATGGAGGATGGCTGAAGGAAGAGAATGATGGAGAGATGGTGGGGAATGGATTAAGTAATGGAAGAGTAAAGATGGATTAATGGACAGGAATGATAGCTGAGAGATGATTGGATGGATGGATGGATGGATGGATAGATGGATGGATGGATGGATGGATGGATGGATGGATAGATGGATGGATAGATGGATGGATGGATAGATAGATGGATAGATGGATGGATGGATAGATAGATGGATAGATGGATGGATGGATAGATGGATGGATGGATGGATGGATGGATGGATGGATGGATGGATGGATAGATGGATAGATGGATGGATGGATGGATGGATGGATGGATGGATGGATAGATGGATGGATGGATAGATAGATGGATAGATGGATGGATGGATGGATGGATGGATGGATGGATGGATGGATAGATGGATGGATGGATGGATGGATGGATGGATGGATGGATGGATGGATGGATGGAACACTGTAAAAGGGAGGAGAGGAGAGAGGTAAGGAGGCTGTTGCAATGTGCTGATGACCAATAATGACACCTTGACACCTTGGCTAGGGCAGTATTGTGAGGAGACAAGAAGAAGCACCAGCTTGATGTTGGTTGCCTCAGGCCTCCTTTGGTAACACAACATAAACAAAAAAAAAATATTTCAAACTTGCTTAAAATGACTCACAACTGAAAATTTTAGGGATTTAACACATGTATCCAGGACACAGCCATGTCAATATCACCCAACCCTCTCCCCCTCTGGTCTTTGCTTTCCCAGTGTGGGGATCACCAGAGATTTGGTTCAGCCTCCCAACAAGTATCTCCAATCAGTAGGAAGATTTGCCTCCCCCTGCTGGTGTACAGCAAATCAACCCTGAGCCATCACTGGATTATAGGAGTGCAGTGTACTCTCTGGCCAGGCTTGATTCCCCTGTCACCTGGAGCTGGAGTGGTCAGTGAGAAGGGAAGGAGTCTAGACAGGTCGTGTGGCAGGGGAGGGAAATGGATACAGAGATGCCAGTCCTCTGGGGATGCCCTGGACTGTAAGGAGACAGTGTTGTTGCCATGGTAAGCAAACATGTGCCAGGAAGAGAGAGACCAGCCAGGCTCCTGTCTGGGAGGGCCATTTTCCATTGATGAGACAGAGCTGGAAAGTGGCAGCTCCAAAGTAACCATGCTGAACCCCCATTCAGGCTCTGGAACAGGAAGCTAAAGAGATTCTGTGCAGCTGTGGGGTGGCCTGAGCTGCCTCCTAGGAGGCCAGGAGCTCAGTGTGGCATCTAAGAGCCTTCTCTGTAGTCTAGCAAGCCCCAGCCTTCTTCCACTCAGCTGGATGGTGACTTCCTCAGCAGCTTGCTGTGGTACCCTCCCCTTATCCGAACAGCCTATCCCCTGCTGCCCTGCCACATCTGTCTCATAGGTTTGTGCCTGAGCAAGATGCTCATCTGCACTCCATAGCCTGCCCCAGAAGATATAAGGGAGGAAACACACCAAACCCCTTTCTGTCCCAGCATCCACCTGAAGCCTGGGATCTACTGGAGGTTTAGTCATGAGGTTGGGTAGGTGGACATTAGACTAAGAGGAGAATGTAGAAGAAACTGAGCCAAGGGCAGAGAGCATAGGTGAGCTTCTCTCAGACTATTGAAGATGGTCACATGACTTTTGGGGGTTTCCTCTGTCCCAGCCAAGCCTGGGCCAGTACCAGCTATGTCTGGCTGTGACAGGAGGAAAAAGCCCCTCTCTAGAAGCTCTAGATATACCTCCTCGAGGATTTCCAGCCAGGAACAGAGCTGGGGCCCTAAATGTACTCTTCCCTGTGCGGACCTGGGACGCAGCATGCACATAGGCTAACCAGCCAGAGCCTGGCCGTTTGTGTCACAGTTATGTGTGGACAAAGAATGATGACGGATGAGAGAGGACCAGAGGTGTCATGTCACAGAGAAGTGGGCTCGGCCCTCACTTCAGGGTTAACTTTTCATCCATCTGTCAGGGTTTCCCTGGACCCAGGGGAGAAAAGGGCGACCGGAGTGAACGTGGAGAGAAGGTGAGGGGTGAAGGAGAAGGGGGATGGGGCAGGCAGGTGGGGAGGCAGAGGCTGTGCTAACTTCTGCAGAGCCAGGTGGCTGCTGGAGCCTGGGGCACCTCACTGGGAGGTGGTGGAGTGTCCCAAGCCTGGCAACCACAGCTATCCTACCACCTCCTTCTGATGCAGGGGGAACGAGGAGTTCCTGGACGGAAAGGAGTGAAGGGCCAGAAAGGAGAGCCCGGCCCACCAGGCCTTGACCAGCCATGCCCTGTGGTAGGTGTCTCGGTAGGATGGAGTCTGACTCTAGCCATAGGTACCATTTCCAGAATCACAGCCCCTTGTGGATCTGATACTCCCACTAACGTGGCTGAAAGATGCAGCCATCTGTGGAGATGGAGGCCTGGCCAGGAAGTTTTAACCCCTGGTTACTTCTATTTATTCAACCTTGAGTGGGGACCCATTGCAGGTTAACCTTGGGGAGGGTAGAGACAACCAGGATAGGAACAGAGCTAGCTTTTTCCGGAGTCTTCAGTAATTAGGGGTGCCCTGGGAGGGGGCTAGGGGCTGGGAAGGGAAGCCCAGCAGACACACAGCTTTGGTGTGTGTGTGTCACAAAGTCAGTGAGTGACCAGCCCCCCTCTCCCACCCTGACCATGGCTGCTCTGGGGTCTGACTTTCTGTGGACTTGGGACCGGGCTGGTCTGAGACGGGACTTCCTCGGGCACTGGGAGAATCACACCACCCTGACCATGGCTACCCTGGGGTCTGACTTTCTGTGGACTTGGGACCGGGCTGGTCTGAGATGGGATTTCCTCGGGCACTGGGAGAATCGCACCACCCTGCCTTCCCTAGGCCTCTCATTCTCCTTTGGCACCTCTCCTTCTGGGATCTTTTTTTCCTCCGGCAGCTAATCTAGCCTCTTCCCAGGCCCTCTGTAAACACACGGCCCTTCCTTTCCTCCTCTCCACTTATCTGTCTCACTTCCTGCTGGCAATAGCTCTTGATAACCCACTAGGCCTGGTAGTGAAACTCCCACAGTTCATTTCCTGTTTTCTAGAAAGCTGGAGGGTTTACATATCACGGTCTATAAGTGGTCCTCAACAAGGACAGGAAAATGAAACACTTGGGTCTCCACACTGAGCTGTCCAGATGTTCACTCCCAGGTACCCCCCCCCAGAGCTTTGGGGAGCAGGCAAACGGGCCCAGGATCAGGGACCTCTACTCGGTCCACTGGCCTCCAGTGAGTTCCTCCAAACCTCTCTGTACCTTGCTCTCCTCCTGGCGGGTCTGAGATATTAGTGAGAGAAAATAAAAAGCCTGGAATCCCAGCACTCAGGAGCTTGAGGCAGGAGGATAAAAAGTTTGAGGCCTCTGCTACATAGTGAGACTCTGTCTCAAAAACAGACAGCCAGAACCTGAGGTCATGGCTCAAGTAGTGACATGCTTGCCTTGAAAGTGTGAAAACCTCAGTTCAGATTCCCAGAACCCATGTGGAAAGACAGGCGTGGTGATGTGTGCTGGCAAGGTGGAGACAGGCAAATCTCTGGAACCCACGGGCCAGCTTGCCTAGCCTACTTGGTAGAGTTCCAGGCCAATGGACACCTTGTCACAAACAAAAGAAGGTGCCTGAGGACCTGGCCTCCACACTCATGTATACACAAATGCATGCATACACACACAGACATACACACAAACACAAAGAGACAGATGAGAGACTGAGAGCCCGCCCTGCTTCCCCAGATCCTGGACCCAGACTTCCTCCATGTGAATAAGCCTTTATCTTAACACAGGAACATCCTCGATGTGGAGGCAAACGAGGGGCACCAGGCTCCCGGGGCCTCGTGATGGGCATCGGGCCATGCCCGCTGGTATGCAGTCTGGCTGCTGTGTGCTGTGTGTGCAATGCTGGGCCTTCTGGGATGCTTTGGGCTGCTGACTCCATCCCTTCTCTTCCTCATTTCTGCCTTCTGGTGCATTCTATCCCTCTTCTCCTCTCTTTGCCTCCTGGTCCCCAAACTGTACCCCAGCATGTACTTGGAAGGGGGTCAGGGTGTGTATCCCATGTGTTTCCCTGTATCTGTGCTTTGGAACAGAGTGGAGTGTTTCTGTCTCGGGGTCACCCCAGGGACTTGACATTTTGTTCACCTCTGGCTCTCCAGTCCTCCAGGCTACCTGAGGAAACCCACCCATGCTCATGTCTGATGAGTGGGTGGACATTGTTGAAGTTTCCTGATAACCCCATCTCCGGCCCCCAGAGTTCATCCTGATGACACTGTCCACCTCCCAGATCCGATCAAAGTGGCCAGGAAGGGCTGAGAGATGCTCCTCCTGCTCTACTCTCTCGGAGACATTCCTGCCTAAAGCCTGAGAGCTTGCAGGGCCCCCAGGATGTCACTTGTAGCAGACAGAAAGCCACCCTTTTCATAGGATCACCCCTCCTCTGGCTGTCAAATGTCTAGCACAGGACCCATTACATCAGAGTGTTCTGTTTCTGCCCGCTGCTCCAGTGTCCCCACAAAGCATCATGAGAGGACAGGACAAGTGCAATGAGGGGACATTATGTCCTCAGATAGACAAAGGAGACACCCAACCCTGCCTCTGTGGAGTCCGTGATTTCAAGTAGCAGCTCCCTGGCTCCCTAGAGCTCCAAGAAGGGTGGCAGAGGTATTGACAGGTCATCAGCCTCCTGCCTCTGTCACTTAAACCTCCTTTTTTTCCAGGGCCCTGATGGCCTGCCCGTGCCTGGCTGCTGGCATAAGGTACTTTTCAGGAAAGGGTCTCAAGGGTGGGCCTGAAGGAGTTGGCATGGGAGAGTTAGAGGGAGAGAGAGAACCCATGGGGACCAGGCACCATCACGCAGAGGTTTGAGTCTCAGTACGACTGTCTCACAGTGCCTGAATAGTCAGGCTTCCCAATGATGTCTTTGACTTTGTTGTCACATGGCCAAGGCTTGGAGCTTGATCCTGGCTGATGTGTGTCATCTGCCTTACTGGTCATCTGGGTCTTGGTTGACATCTGGCCCTGCCAATTGAAAGCCATTGGGGAGCCTCCTGGGACTTATCCCAACTGCCCCACTGAAAGGGGCTTGGAAAGAAAGGCGGGCTACACCTGTTCCAAAAGAAATCATCAGGGCGGAGGTTGCTGGTGGGGGCCACAAGGACCTCTCCAGGCCTGTCCGTCACCTTCTATCTCCCCCTCCTTTTCCAGTGATCCTCAGACATGGCTCCCAACCTGTACAGATCCATTTGGATGTTTTTAACTTGTGTAAAAACAAAACAGTAATATATTGATCTCCTTTACGGGATGCACCAACGGTGGCCTTGTAACATTGGAGAGTGTGCCAGCCAGCCCCAGGACAACCTGCACAGGAAGCCAGCAGGAAAGTGGGCAGGCCGCTGTGGGAAATATGCTTGAGGACCCGCTGCAGGGCTTTCCTAGAGAAGACGACGAAGGTGGAAACGCCTGGCTCAGGTGAGGCTGCACAGACTCCAGGTTGGGCCTGCAATCACCTGATTAGCAGAGACACACGACTGTTCCCTGACACCACACTGCCCCAACTTCTCACTGTCCAACAAGACCCCCTTGGACGACTGCTGTACCTTCTTGCCTCTGGACCCCGCCACAGGCAGCTGCACTGGGACCCTGTGTTCAATGGGGGCAGGTGGAGATTGCTTGAGCCCAGCACTGGGGAGAAGGCGATGGAAGGAACTCCAAGAGGGCTTTGCTCTACCCAAGCTCAGTAGTCTTCCAGAAGCCACCCTGTCATAGGAGCGTGTATCCTCAGGCCTCGGGAATGGCAGGGCTCTGTGAATACCTCAGTGTGGAGCCAGCTGCAGGCAGCTCAGTAACCCCTGGCTGTAGGGTAAAGAGACCCAGATGCACTAGTTGCTACTTCCGGTCTCCTCAGGAACAGAAGGAGGACTTTATCAGCCCTGAAGAGACAGGCCTCTTGGTCAGGACTTGAGTCTCACTGGCCCTGTCTCCCACCTAGAACTCTGGTCAGCCCAGCAGAAACTGGCCACCTAGTAGGTGGTAGAGACACCATGAACCCAAAGGCTGGTCCCTGCAAGCCTGAGCAAAACACCTGTGGCAGAAACCCCTGCCCTCTGAGAAGGGGCTTCAACACTTCTAACAAAGGTTCCTAGCTACCCCTCTGTCCATGGCCTCACATCCCTGTCTGTGTAAAGGTGCTGTGTGTAATAAACCACACGTGTGTGTCTGGGTATGCCTGTCCTTGCAGACTGTGCTGTGTGTAATAAACCACACATGTGTGTCTGGGTATGCCTGTCCGTGGTCACTTCTAGCTGAGTTCATCCTAATGGTTCCTGCTGAACGGGAAATGGGGCTTTCTCTAGGGGCAGAGTCATCCCAGAAACCAGATGATATAGTTCAGGATTAGGAGATAGGAGGATACAGGCTCAAGACCTGGACCCACACATGTCAGCAGGATCCTGGGACCAGTCACATCATGCCACTAAGTCCCTGTCTGCCTTTCTGCTATGCTTACTAAGCAAGGACACTCCAAACTTGTTGCCTTGAAATATCCATTCTCTCAGTTCCAAGGATTCAGAGGACCAGCTGGGTGGTTTCTCTTGGACTCTGCCTCATCCGGTGATGGTGCCTGTCAGCTAGGATCCCAATGGCCATGGCACCTACCTACCTATCACCTGTTTGAATGACAGCAGGATTCTTAGAAAGCTGTGTCACCTCGTATGACGAAGCCTTCAAAGTCACATGATGTCACTTCCTGCAAAAGTCAGAGCTTCATCCCAATTGAAGGGGAAGAAGACAGACCCACCTCTCCATGAGCAGTGTCAATGTCATATTTAAATGAAAAAAATGTGGGAGAGGAGATCTTATAGTCCTTCAAAAATAAAATAATAAAATAAAACCAGCTCTTGAAATCACTATGTAGCTGAGGATAACCTTAAATTTCTGACCCTCCAGTCTCTACTTCCAAGTGCTGGAATTACAGGTGTATACCACCATGCATGCCCCCCCCCCTTTTTTACAGTACTAGGAATCGAACCTAAGGCTTTATGCATGCTAGGCAAGCACTTGACCAACTAAGCTATATTCTTAACCTTTGTTATAGCATCTTTTTTGTTTTGTTTTGTTGGTTTTTCGAGACAGCTTTGGAGGCTGTCCTGGAATTAGCTCTTGTAGACCAGGCTGGTCTAGAACTCACAGAAATCCACCTGCCTCTGCCTCCTGAGTGCTGGGATTAAAGGTGTGCACCACCACCACCCGGTTGTTATAGCATCTTAAATAATGCCTTATCTATAGCATAAGACAGTAATGTTCAAAACTCAGATGTATGATTCATCTTTGTGTAACACAGAGAGCCTAGGACAGGTCAGACACTCCAAAGTGCCTGTGGCCGGCTGTCTTCACTGTATTCACTCCAATACCGAGTAGTAACCACAGCTTTGCCTAGGGGCCCATGTCTTCCCTGTGCATGTCCTTAGAGATGCCCAGCAAACGTGCCCATTTCCACAGATGACAGAACCACATTCTTTGTCTGCATTTAGAAAAAAGCAGGAGGCTGCGTTAGTGCCTCTGGTCTCCTCCCTCCGAGAACAGAAATAAGAAAAAGAAGACAAATGTAGGGGCTCACTGCTATTAATGTGTGCTTTGGAGATGCAGCCCAGCCAGCCCAGCCCACCATTCACTATAGTTAGCAATGCACTCCTCTTTCCCCTTGTTAGTCCTGCAAGGAGAGGGGCTACAGTGGTTGGTGTCACTATATCCATGTCACATATAGGAAACCTGAGGCTCAGGAATGCACAGCCAGGCTGGAGTGACAGGCTCATGATTGGACCCATGCCCTTGGAAGTCATCTAATTTGTCTTCAGAATTGTGTGGCAGTGCATGGAATCTGCCATGCAGTCCCTTGACAATGGGTGGGCAGCAAGTAGAGCTTGGGAGAGGTCAAAAGCCAGTGTTCTCCCTGTCACTTCTCAGCCTGGCTGCAATGGACCATTCTTGACCTGTTGCTGCCCCCTGTGGCCTCATACCTTGTAACCCTTGCAAGTGGACATGCAAAGCCACTAAGTCCTATGCCAGCCTGGAGAGAGACTGAGAGAATGGCTTGTTCAAGGTCCCAGATGAGACAATGGAGAATGCCCTGCCTCACCAATGAGCCTCAAGGACTGAGAGGCCTTGGGTCTCTCTGGAAAAGGGGGCAGTTCTCTGTAAGTCATACAGAGGTGGAAGAGAGGAGTCTGTACTGAGTCCTTGAGTGTTCCCTGTCCCTTGACAGCTAAAGTAACCACCAGGATAGTTGTCCCCCTGGACAGATGGACCTGAGGCTTGAGAAGCTGACTTACTTAGTTTCTGTCCTTAGAAGAGGCTTTGAGTTATCACAGGACTGGGGAACACTCCTGGCATTTGGTGGACAGAGTCAAGGTTAGCAAACATCTGAAATAATCCTGAACACTCCTGTTCAGTGGTGAAGCTGCTCACTGGGAAAGCCAGCTGAGAAAACCCTGCACTAAAGTCAAGGGGTAGGGTGGGGTACCTTTGCTTGCTTGTTGAGAAAGGGTCTCAATATATAGCCTCAGCTGGTCTCTAACTCGCAATTCTGCCTCAGCCACCCAGGTGCTGAGATGACAGGCTTGCACCAACCACCATGCTCCCCTCTATGTGCTCCCCTCTATGTGCAAGCCTTGTTCAGCCCCTCTCTCCTCTCAGTCTGTGCCCTCCTGACCTCCAGTGTCCCCTTGAAGGTCGGATGCCAGAAAATGGACAGAGGACATTTACCATGGGGCAGGGGCAGGAAGGAAGGGGCTTTTCTGAGCAGGAAGATGGACTCTTCAGTAGTTTTATGGTTAAGAACATGCAACTTGACTCAATTTGGGAATATGAAAGAGTTGTGACTGGGAGTGAGAATGTACTAATGCCTCTGAATTGTACCCTTCAAATAGCTTGGTTTTTATGTATATTTTACCACAATAAAAATAAGAAATGCAAGAATATAAGGTTGTTCTTTAATACGGCAGTAAGTATTTTTGTGGGGAAGAGAAGAGATGAGCTATTGGATGATGAGCAGAGGGCTGGCATGTTGACAAGACTGCCCCGGCCTGCAGAAGGGCAATCCGAAGCCTTTGTCCAGAGTTCATCAAGGTTATCGGTCCCAGCGCCCAACCATCTAGGGAGTATCTCTGCTCTCCCAGTTCCCTGACCGCAAAGGTCTCTTGTCACTCAATGTGCTAGTTCTGGAGGCCTTGCTTTAATCCCGCCTCTGCAGCAAACCTACAGTCAGTGTTTCTGGGAGCAAAACCCTTTCTTTTGGGGGTCTGTTTCCTGGACAAAACATACAGAAGGACTCTTAAGTTCCCAACCCTCTTTTTTTTTTTGGTTTTTCAAGACAGGGGTTTCTCTGTATTGTTTTGGAGGCTGTCCTGGAACTCACTCTGTAGACCAGGCTGGCCTCGAACTCACAGAGATCCACCAGCCTCTGCCTCCCGAGTACTGGGATTAAAGGAGTGCGCCACCAACGCCGGGCCCCCAACCCTCTTTCTATCTGCCCACTGCGATATTCTCTTCTTGTAGCCACACGTCAAGTTCACCTGCCTGGGCCTACCAAAAATGTCTATTGATCTCCGTGGTCTGTCTCGGCAGTGGCCCCGAGCTCTCCTACACCGGGCCGGAAAAGACTGCGACTTTCCAAGGTCCCAGTCACAGGGAGTCACGCTTTAAGCGCAGAGGGCAAACCGCTTGGGCGTGCCCAGCCACAGTCCAAAGTCCCGCTCAACCGGAAGACCTGGGAACACCTTCCCGGGAAGGAAATCTCAGGGGTGGGAGAAAAGAGCATGGTACGAGCCCGGACCACCGCAGAGCGCCCCCGTGCGGCGGCGTGAATCACAAGCCAGCTTTCTTGCTCGCAGGTTGCTTGAATAATTGAAGGCCGGGAAGGGAGCGCCAAGGGGCGGGGCCAGCACCGAAACCCCGACCAGAACTAACGTAGCTGGCGGAGGCGGGCCTAGCGCGCAGAGTCTGGGCCCTGACTGACAGCGTGGCGACATGGCCGCGGATTCGCGTGCCAAGGCCGCCACTCTGAACCTGAGACGCCGCCTGCTCAGGTACCGGGTGTGGGCTTGGAAGGCGCGCACAGCGCTCGCCCCGAGTCCCTGACATCCCCGCCTCTCTCAGCCTCAGCTTACTAGAAGCGGCCATGGGCCACGCTGAAGCTCCGGGACGTCGCCTGCCCCGGGGGACCGGCTTTGCCCCTGACAACTTCCTGCAACAGGAGCTGGGCCTGGCCCGGGGTGGGAGTCACGTCACAGACAGAGTTAAGAGAAAGTCTGCTCTTGGCCTGTGAGGAAGACTCTCGTTCCCACGTGGAGAGGAGGCGATGGCTGGAGTTAGCCACCCCAGCCAGGGGCAGTAGGGTCCCTGAGATGGCAAGGAATGCTGAGGCCTAAGATCCAGCTCTTAACATGGGGCTTTTCTTCGGGAAACCATCCCGAAGCCTCTTTCCCCAGGGCCACAGGAACTAGTGTATGTGCAAGCAGACCTGAGAGGGCCACCAAGGCTTAAGCGAGCTTGTCTCAGCAACTTTCTGCCCGTCCTGTCCCTCATAGGAATAAGGAGGCCAGCTATTGTCCTTTCCAGACACTGGGAAGGAGTGGATGAGGTTGTGATGAGTGTAGTCCCCACTCCGGTCTTTAGAGGGGGCTATCCATTCTTTGCCTGTCCCCACAGCTCTTCCTGCAGACTCTTTTTTCCTGAGGACCCTGTTAAGATTATCCGAAGCCAAGGGCAGTACCTGTACGATGAGCAAGGACGAGAGTTCCTGGACTGTGTCAACAATGTGGCTCATGGTCAGTACCAGCCTCGCCCTTGGTGAGGGAGGAGAGGAGGCCGAGGCTGTAAATCTGATTGGCAGCCTGGGTTGAACAGAATCATCCAATCTTTGTGAAGGAACCTGAAAAGGCCCACACCCTATCTGTGCTTAACCAGGAAGGAGGCAGAGAATAAGGCATCAGGGTCCAAGTTCCACTTGGAACTCACAGCAAGCGGCCTATGGAGCCTGCCCAGGCATGACCACCAATGAAGCATGATCCTTGGCCCTGTACGGGGTTATTTAAGAGCAGGCCTTCACGTCTATATTGACTGTTGGCGGGGAACTACAGGAAACTTAAGTATGAATTCAGCCAACTAGGGTTATCAGAGCTGATGGCAGAAAGGAAGGCTTTGGGTTAGAAAGCACATTGGAGGCAGATAAAGGTTAAAATCCAGGACTCTCCCAGCACTCAAGGGACAGAGAGGCAGGTGGATCTCTGTGAGTTAAAGGCCAGCCTGGTCTATAGAGCAGAACAATGGTTTCACAGAGAGACATTGTCTCAGGGAGAAAAAAAGTCACTTAGTGCCCTGAACCTTGTTGCTCATTGGACAAGGAACAAAACTCAACTAGCAACTCACCTAGTTTGACTCAGGGGTTTTGAATAATTGTGTGGATACTGGTAAATTGCTTTAACCATGCTTGGCACTAACTCTGTTACTCCTTAACCCTCTGACCATTCCCCTCCAGCCCAAGGTCTCAAGATACCTCTCTAAAAACACTGATTTTCTAGAAGTCTCTACAGAACCATCTTTTCCTTCTGCTGGAATCTCTCTCGAGGCCTTCCATTCCAGAGCATCATCCCTGTGCTCCCCCACCCCCACCAACTGCCCTTTCCTCTCCTCGGATGGGTTTGCAGATGGAGGGGGGGTCTGGTGGGGCTGGCTGGGTGGAGTCGGCCATGTGATGGAGGTGGCCTCTTGCAGTCGGGCACTGCCACCCTACCGTGGTCCAAGCTGCACATGAACAGAACCTGGTGCTCAACACCAACAGCCGATACCTGCATGACAACATTGTGGACTATGCCCAGAGGCTGTCGGAAACCCTGCCAAAGGAGCTCTCGGTGTTTTATTTCCTGAATTCTGGGTAAGTGAACTGTGGACAACATGCCCTGTTGAAAACAAGTCCAAAGAAGAAAGTCACCCATGTGGGTGCAGTGTAGTAAAGCTGCCTGGGGGAGTGGAGCCCACTTCAGGGAGAAGCCTCTGGGCTGCCTGGGGGAGTGGAGCCCACTTCAGGGAGAAGCCTCTGAGCTTCCTGGTTGTAGACTCCAGAGCTTTTTCTGTTGACTCCAGGTTCTCGCTCTGTAGAACACACCACAGCCTCCCTTCCAGGCACACTGGGGCTTAGTGAAGTAATGTATTTCTTTATTTCTTCCTCATGGATCCAGACTTCAGGTGTAGGTCAGCAAGTTGAAGGGACACCAAATCTTCAGAGAAATAGGAAATTATGGAAGGGTCCTTTTCTAGAGCAAGAATACAGAGTAATGAGGCCTAGAAGCAGTGGGGGTCCTGACTTGACTGTGCCTCCATGGAGATGCTGAGAGCTCCTGAGGTAACTCAGGTAGTAGCTAAGGGAGGAGGAAGGCACTCTGGGAAAGTATGCTTGTCAAGGTTGGTCACCACCAGTCTGGGCAAAAGCCCTGTAACATGAAGGGGCAAGGCATGCGTGGTGACCCACCAGAGGAAGAGGAAAGAATGAGCAGGGCAGGGAGCGGTCTCTCAGCTGTGTTTATCTTCAGGTCGCTAGAAAGCTATAGGGAATTGGGGTGAGGGTTGTTTTTTTTTCTAGTGATGGTTAGTGTTTTTGATGTTTGCTTTTAATATTTGTGAGTGTTCGATATTTTTTGTTGTTGGGGTTTTTGTTTGTTTGTGTTTTGGTTTTTTCTAGATGGGGTTTCTCTGTGTAGCTTTGGAGGCTGTCCTGGAACTCACTCTGTAGACCAGGCTGGTGTCAAACTCATAGAGATCCACCTGCCTCTGCCTCCCAAGTGCCACCAACGATCGACGATGTTTGTTTTTAATATATTTGCCTGAATATATATCTATGGATCATGTGCATGTTTGATGCCTGTGGAGGCCAGGCGGTTTCAGATCTCCTAGAACTGCAGTGCAGACAGTCGTGAGCTTACATGTGGGGACTGAAAATAGGTCCTCTACAAGAACAGCAAATGCTCTTAACAGCTGAGCCATCTCTCCAGCCCCGCCCCCAAAGAGTTTTAATCAGGAAGCTATGCTACCATGATGGGGACCAAGAGTGGCTAGTGTTGGGCATTTGGACTGGGAGAGGCAGTGATACAGAGTCAGGAACATGACCACCACATTCTAAGAACATCCAACAATAGCATTTGGGTTTTAGGCACAATCACAAGTATCATTGCCTCATACAGTCTTCAGTCTCCTGAAGAACTTAGCAGTAGAATTTGCCGTCATTTCACAGATATGGAGATGCATCGACTTGGTAGAGCGCTTACCTAGTGTCACGAGGCTTTTCCATCTCTAGTACTACAGTATAATAGGTGGGAGACGGGAGGAAGTGGGGAGCTGGCTAGGAGATGGGAGAGCCTAGGCTGGGAACTCTCTGTTAAGAACAGGAGGTAGGCACAGGGAAGACAGTCCCCGTTGTCTCCCTCTACCAAGTTCCTTCCGTGTGGATTCCTGTGACTTGATGTTGCCAAGTCCTGTGACCTCTGGGCTCCCTAGCCTGTTTCTCGACAGTTTGACAGCTGTCATTCTCCCTAGAGATGCTTTTTCCTCTTGCTTCCAGGCTCTGGTGCTCACCAGCTGCCAGTGCCACGCCTCCTCTGTCCTGCGGGGCATGTCCCACTCCTTTTGTCCCCTCTGTGATTTCATCTATCTGCTTGGAATTAAATGTCATCCATGTGCTGATGACTCAAAAATCTATATCACAAACCCAGATATTGGAGCTGCAGAGCTGCAGAGATGGCTCAGCAGTTAAGAACAGTAGCTATAGCCGGCAGTGGTGGCCCACGCCTTTGATCTCAGCAAAAGCCCTGCCCCTCCCCCTGAAAAAAAAAAAGAACAGTGGCTGTTTTTCCAGGGGACCTGGGGTTTTGTGTATTTGTTTTTGTTTTTTTGTTTTGTTTTGGTTTGTTTTGGTTGTTTTGTTTTGGGTTTTTTGTGGTTTTTCCTTTTTTTTTTAAGATTTATTTATATATTATGAATACAACATTCTGCCTCCATGTCTGTCTGCAAGCCAGAAGAGGACACCAGATCTCATTACAGATGGCTGTGAGCAACCATGTGGTTGCTGGGAATTGAACTCAGGACCTCTGGAAGAGCAGTCAATGCTCTTAACCTCTGAGCCATCTCTCCAGCCCCTTTTTTTTAAAGATTTATTTGTTTGTTTGTTTATTGTGTATACAGTATTGTGTCTGCATGTATGCCTACAGGCCAGAAGAGGGCACCAGATCTCATTACAGATGGTTGTGAGCCACGATATGGTTGTGGGAATTGAACTCAGGACCTCTGGAAGAGCAGCCAGTGCTCTTAACATCTGGGTCATCTCTCCAACCCTTTTTTGGTTTTTCAAGAGAGTGTTTCCCTGTGTTACATCCCAGGGTGTCTTGGAACTCACCCTGTAGAGATTGAACTCACAGAGATCCGCCTGCCTCTGCCTCCCCAGTGCTAGGATTAAAGGCGTGCGCCACCACTGCTGAGCAGGGTCCTGGGTTTGATTCCAAGCACCTATGTGTCACTCACAACTCTCTGTAACTGAAGTTCCAAAGAACTCAATGAGCACCTTCATAGACACCAGGCACATATGTAGCGCGCAGACATACATACAGGTAAAATACCCATACACACAAAATACTTTTAAATTAAAATAGCAGGGCCTGGAGAGATGACTCAGTGATTAAGAACAACACTTGATGCTTCTACAGAAGACCCAAGTTCAGTTCCCAGCACCCATGGCAGGTGGTTCACAACCACCTATAATCTACCTCAGTGCCCTCTTTTGGCCTCCTTTGGCACTATACAAACAAAACCTCCACACAGACACACATTCATATAGTTGAAAAATAAAAAAGATTTTTTAAAAACCCAGATGCTGGGGCTGGAGAGATGGTCTTCCAGAGATCCTGAGTTCAATTCCCAGCAACCACATGGTGGCTCACAACCATCTGTAATGAAATCTGGTGCCCTCTTCTGGCCTGTAGGCATACATACATGCAGACACAATACTGTATACATAATAAATAAATTTTTATTTTTTTTTATTTTTTTATTTTTTGGTTTTTCGAGACAGGGTTTTGTGGCTTTGGAGGCTGTCCTGGAACTCGCTTGGTAGTCCAGGCTGGTCTCGAACTCACAGAGATTCGCCTGCCTCTGCCTCCCGAGTGCTGGGATTAAAGGCGTGCGCCACCAACGCCCGGCAATAAATAAATTTTTAAAAATAAAAAATAAAAACCTAGATGCCGCCCATGGGTTCCACTTAAGGTTCTAAGTGGCCATTCTGACATCTGACAGTCATCTCCAACTTCATTTATTCAAAAACAACCAAGAATTGCCTTCTCCTGAGCACACTGGCTCATGCCTTTAATCCCAGCACTTGAGAGGCAGAGGCAGGCGGATCTCTGTGAGTTAGAGGCCAGCCTGGTCAGGCAGTGAAACATAGACTCTGTCACAAAAACAAGTCAAGTAATAAAATAATTTTTAAAATAAAAAGCTGCCATCTACCAATGCCTATGTGAGATCATATTACTAGTTCTCCCTGATGCCCTGCACACACACACACACACACACACACACACACACACACACACACACACCACCCACATACTATCTCACTTGGAAGAAACCACACATGCAGTTCTCCCTATCTGTCCCAGGATCTCTCTTGGCTCATCCTCATGGTTTTCATCAGGCAGCCTTCAGGGCCTCCTCACTCCCACCTCATTCCCTTTAGAAATAGCCAGAGGCTGCCTCAAAAAGAGAGAGAGAGAGAGAGAGAGAGAGAGAGAGAGAGAGAGAGAGAGAGAGAGAGAGGGAGGGAGGGAGGGAGGGAGGGAGGGAGGGAGGGAGGGAGGGAGGGAGGGAGGGAGGGAGGGAGGGAGACAGAGAGAGAGAGAGCAGAGTCACATCTTTTCTCTGCTTCATGGTCTCTCTTTTTTTTTGGGGGGGGGGCTTTAAATGTGCTAAGGAGATGATCAGTCTCCTCCTCGGTCCCAGGAGCATGGCCCTACATATCTCTCCACTTTTCTGCCCCAGTTTCCTTCCCTCCATTGCCTAAACATACCAGACAGAAGAGGGCCTGTTGTTGTGTTCCAGAGTCCTAGAAAGTTCCTCAGGATTTAGGGCAAATATTACCCTTTGCAGATATATCACTGACCCCATTATATTGACGGGTAGGGTAACCCTAACAAAAGGTTGCAGACTTGGAGGTTATGCAATAGAAATGTATTTTCTCAGGCCACACATGGTGATGCCTTTAATCCCAGCACTTGAGAGGCAGAGGTAGGCGGATCTCTGTGAGTCTAAGGCCAATCTGGTCACACAGTGAGTTCCAGGACAGCCAGGGGTATATGGAGAAATCCTATCTCAAAGAAAGAAAGATAATGTATTTTCTCCAAGTTCTGGAGGCTAGAAGTCTCAGACCATCGTGTCAGTAGGATCTGTGTGCTCAGAGGCCTGGCTCCTTACCTAGCACATGAATGCCTTCTTACACACCTGACAGGGTCTGTGCAAAGGCCCCCGGTATTTGTGAATCCACACCACTTCTCATGGACATCAATCAGATTAGGCTAGGGTTGCTCCAGGGCCTCCTTTTAACTAGCCTGTTGAAAGGCCTCATCTCCAAATGAGTTCATTCTGAGGTACTGTGAATTAGGGCTCCTGTGTAGTAGTTTTAGAACACATCTTACCTCATAACAGCCTCTACCTACATGGAGCCTCACGTGGGTCTTCCTGAGCACCCCGTGCCCAGTGGTGACACAGAAATGATCACTCTGTCTTGTTTGGCTTTCAAGATACATCAGCTCTGGGCAATAATGGGACACGCCTTTAATCCCAGCACTTGGGAGGGAGAGGCAGGCAGATCTCTGTGAGTTCCAGACCATGCTGGTCTGTTGAGTTAGAGTGAGTTCTAGGATAGCCAGGGCTATTATACAGAGAAACCCTGTCTCCCAATAAAAACAAAAAGCAAATGCATCATAATGTAAGTTTTAAGAGGGCACCTCTTGTTCTCACTCTGCCCTGATGCACAGAAGGCTATACATATTGCCAAGGAAACTGTGCCCTGAGAATGCTCTCAATGCTGAAAGGGCTCCTCCATGGAAAGCGCTTGGGTGATGTCCCAAGTCATGCCCATATTTTCTGTCACAGGTCAGAAGCCAATGACCTGGCCTTGAGACTGGCTCGTCAGTACACAGAACACCAGGATGTGGTAGTATTGGACCAGTAAGTGTAACTCCCAGCCCTGCTTCTCCAAAGCCTGGGCTCCACAGGTCTGGGAGGGTCAGCAGGACTCTGACTTTGGACCGTAAGGGGGAAAGCCAGTGTGGCATGAAACCCAGACCCCAGTGACAGCTCCCTGGACGTCTTGACTTCAGCCTACCTTTCTGAAAGAACAGCAGCTGGTAGTGAAATCAGCGCCATAAGCATTAGAGACCAAAGGCCATTAGAGACCAGTTAAGATTTAAGATGTATTGTAACTCTATGCTCCCACTTTACAGAGGAGAAAACTGAGCCCAGAGTGGTCAGGTGACTAGAATTGTGGCATGCTAGCAAGTGGCCTTGCAGGAAGTCACTCCAAGCCTGCACTTGTCCCCAGCTCAAGGACTTGGTACCCTGTGCTTTGTCTTCAAAAGTGGTAGACACTGGTTAGGGCTTATCCCAGGAGTAAATGCCACCAGAGCCTGAGCCCACATCCTCCTTCTCCCTAGTGCTTATCACGGTCACCTGAGCTCCTTGATTGACATCAGTCCCTACAAGTTCCGGGACCTGGATGGCCAGAAGGAATGGGTCCATGTGGTATGCACGCCCACATCGCCACAGGTGAGTTTCCACCCCCAAGCCTGGATGACATGGCAGTGTCTCTCCCTACAGGCTCCTCTCCCAGACACCTACCGGGGTCCTTACCGGGAGGACCACCCCAATCCAGCAGAGGCCTATGCCAATGAGGTGAAGAATGTGGTCAACATCGCACAGGAGAAGGGCAGGAAGGTAACCACACCCACATCTGTCCAGAGGATGTAAAATCCACTGACAAGATGCTGAGGCCCAGACTTGGTGGCTATATATATACAAAGGTCAACCTGAGCAACTTAGTGAGACCCTATACAAAATAATTTTAATTTTGTGTGCATGGGTGTTTTGCATACATGTATGTCTGTGCACTATGTGTGTGCAGTGCCCTTGGGGATTAGAGAATGGTTAGATACCCAGAGACTAGATTTATATATGGTTGTGGGTCACTATGTAGGTACTGGGAATTGAATTCAGGTTCTCTGGAAAAGCAACCACTGAGCCTTCTCTCCAGCCCTGGAATTTTTTCAAAAGTAAAAAGAAATGTGGAAAGCCTGGTGTGGTAGTACACACCTTTAATCCGAGCTCTCAGGAGGCAGAGTCAGATAAGATTTACTTGAGTTTGAGGCTGGTGTAGTCTATATAGGAAGCTCTAAGCCATTCAGGGCTGGAACTGACTCATCTCAAAGAAAGGCTGGGGAAGGTGTGGTGAGAATGTATCTCAGTGTTAGAGTGCTTGCCTACTTATGTGTGTGAGACATCCTGGGCTCAATTTCAGTACTGAAGAAAAGAGTAGAATGAGACCCTGATTATGATTTGAGTGAGAATCTAGTGTGGAGAAGGGATGAGGCTTGTTAATGCCCAACCTAGTTTTGTTTTTTTGTTTGCTTGTTTTTTAATTTTTCCAGATAGGGATTCTCCATGGCTCTGGAGGCTGTCCTGGAACTAGCTTTTGTAGACCAGGCTGGTCTCGAACTCAGAGGTCGGCCTGCCTCTGCCTCTGCCTCCCGAATGCTGGGATTAAAGGTGTGTGCCACCACCACCCGGCTGTCCAACCTAGTTTTAACATATTGGAGCAAGTATGGGTCCCACGGCCTGGGCTAGAGCAGTGTGGATGGATAGAGGCTCCTTAGAGGAGGTTACTATGGAGTTTCAAAGTAAAGGTAAGATTTAGTCATTCCAGGTAGGGTAGGAGGCAGGACAGGAAGAGCTTCCTGAACAGGCACCTGTACAGAGATGAGGGCCACGTGACTGGGGCTAGGTGGAGCAGGTTGTCAGATGGGCCTAGACAAGCAGGCAGGACCCATATGCCTGGAACTCTACCTAGGGACCTCAACACTGGTGAGGAGACCTGAGGACTGTGCTGTTCTGTCTTGGGTTGCATGCTGAATATATTTTACTGGAGCAGTCCAGAGACAGGTCCATGAGGCTGCCTTCCCAGGGCAGTCTATGGGGATTCTGTGGAGAGGCAGACGGGAGTGTATATCCGGGGAGAACAAGGCCCACACTTACTAGCAACTGGCTGTGAGGAAAAGAAAGGGCCGGGCGTTGGTGGCACACGCCTTTAATCCCAGCACTCGGGAGGCAGGGGCAGGCGGATCTCTGTGAGTTCGAGACCAGCCTGGTCTACAGAGTGAGTTCCAGGACAGCCTCCAAAACAATACAGAGAAACCCTGTCTCGAAAAACCAAAAAGAAAAGAAAGGTAGACTGTGGTGCCAAAGAGGTTAGCAGAACCAGCTGAAGAGCTCTGGTACTCCACAAACACTTCAAAAGAACCACTGTAGTGGCGCACGCCTTTAATCCCAGTGCTGGAGGCAGAGGCAGGAGGATCTTATGAGTTCAAGGCCAGCTTGATCTACAGAATGAGTTCCAGGAGAGCCAGAGCTACACGGACAAACCCTGCCTCAGAAAATAAGTAAATAAGGACCTCCTTCCTCACTCCATCAGCTGTCCCATGAGGCCTCCAAAGCAGCCCTCCAGGGGGATACATAGGGAAAACATGTTTGGGCAAAGAGTTTTAAGCTGGACACAGATAACCTCAGTGTCTGGGTTGAGGCATCTTCCCGAGGGCAGTGTGAGAGACAGGAAGAGATATCCCATAAGACAGCATCTGCAGTAGCCACAGACAAGAAGCAGACTCTGAGATGTGACAGCCATGAGACAATGGGTGTCAGCAAGACACATTACAGGAAGGCGTAGGTAAGGATGAAGCCACATTTTTGCTCTCAGTGAGGTGAGACTGTTGCTGGTCACCACATAGGGACCAGGGAGAAAGGGTTTATGGGGTGAATGTGTGTGAGTGAATTTAGTTGACTGCAACAAGCCCAAGTACAAGGGGATGACTCACACCCTCAGATGTGACATAGCATCCAAAGGGAGGCTCATTGCCAATATTATTAGCAAGGCACACTGAACTCTGTCTCATCCACAGATTGCAGCCTTCTTTGCTGAGTCTCTACCCAGTGTGGCTGGGCAGATCATTCCCCCTGCTGGCTACTTCTCCCAGGTGGCAGAGTGAGTAAAGGGGCAGGCAGGCTCTACGCAAAGGTGAGCAGGCTTTTAATTTTTTAATTGGGTTTCTTGAGATCTATTCCAAATTCCTATAGCCTAGCCTGCCTCCCTGAAGGATCTGAAACAAAACCCTCAAAGAAATAATGGCCCAGATAAGGCCAGCCATTTGCCCAAAGTGAGACACAGCACCCCACCCCAGGACTTCTCAGCTATGGGTCTCTCTCACCACAACCCTGTCTGCTATCTATTCTCCTTCTCACCACAACCCTGTCTGCTATGTATCCTCCACAGGCATATTCGCAGGGCCGGAGGGCTCTTTGTTGCAGATGAGATCCAGGTTGGCTTTGGCCGGGTAGGCAAGCACTTTTGGGCCTTCCAGCTGGAGGGGGAAAGCTTTGTCCCTGACATTGTCACCATGGGCAAGTCCATCGGCAATGGCCATCCTGTTGCCTGTGTGGTCACTACCCAAGCTGTGTCAAGAGCATTTGAAGCCACGGGTATAGAATACTTCAACACGGTGAGCAAAGCTGCAGGGCAAATGCTCTATTAGTTGCCACTCGATCACCATGTCCTTAGTCCGTGGAGGCTCCAGGGCTTTTCACTGTGCCTAGCACAGATTTCTAAAATGCCATCCTCCAGGAAGCTACATCAGTTTTGTTTGTTTTGTGTGTGTGTGTGCAACAGACAGACAGACAGACATTAAGAGACTCACTGGGTAGTCCTGAGTGGCCTCAAACTCAGAAATCCACCTGCCTCTGACTCTTAAGTGCTGAATCAAAGTTGTGTGCTGCCTCACTTGGCCCAGGTCAGATTTTTTTTAAATACTGTCAAACATTTTTCAAAATTAGTATTAACCCAAATGCTATCACAGAATAAAACACACAGAATGCAAGACCCCTTTCCTTCCGGCAGAAGCTGCCTACCTGTGGCAGATGCTACAGTCAGAAAGTTGAAGAAGCTGAATGAGAGGAGTGTTTTGGTTAGCTTTGGAGACAGGAAGTCTACAGCATGTCGTGGAGGAAGGATGGCTCCCTGTCCTTGGAGCACTGGCCAAGATTTTCCCGAAAGGAAGCTCACATACACCCAACATAGGTGATTCTGAGGCTGTAGGTGCAGGGTGGGAGCAGGAGCAGGTCCTCAGCCAGGGCCTCCTCCTCCCATTGCAGAAACAGAGTCCATGACCCTGAAGACAGCAAGGGGTGTGTTGCTTGGCTTTTTGTCTTTTGTTTCAAAGTGCTGGTGATCAAACCCAGGCCTATTACTGCTATGCAAACACTTTGCATGGAGGTACACCTGACTCCCAAGGAAGAATTTTCTTCATAGAAAGATGAGGTCTAACTACTCTTTGGAAAAATCTCTTGACACCAGCACAGAGAACAAGGTGTAGTCAGGAAACTGAATCTGGCCAGAAGCAGAAAGGTCTTGGGTGCTCACCATAATTTCCACAAAAAACCATTTGAATTTTTTTGTTTTGGTTTGGTTTTTTGAGACAGGGTTTTTCTGTGTAGTTGCCTGTCTCCCAAGTGATGAGACTAAAGGCGTGTGCCACCATGGCCTGGCCTGCCATTTAAACTTTGAAGGAAGTCAGCACTTGGCAAGATGTCAGAAAGGCAATGAGGGTCAGTCTGAGGAGGGGAGTGACATCTGCTCTGGTACTTTAGGAGCCGTTACTCTGCCCAAATAACAGACAGCCTCTGCCCTGGGTGGGCCTGATGTCAGGGCAAGAAACACTCCTAGACTCAACTGGGACACTGGAGAGCCTAGCTTAGTAGACACAGTATAGGATGGTCCACTGTGAGAATACAAGGGACATTCCAGGCAAGTAGACACAGGGCTGAGAGACAAGTTAATGGAGACAGATATCAAGAGCAGAGTCTGGAGGTGAGCCGCAGTTGATGTCCCTATATAGCCCTCTTCTAACCAGCTGGTTGCTTGGCTCTTTTTGCTAAGGTTTTTACATTTATTTATTCATTTGTGTATGGATACATACGCAGCTACTCATGTGGAGGTCAGAAGACAACTTTCAGGAGTCATTTGCTCCTTCCATCATGAGCTCTGGGAATCTAATTCAGTCCACTAGGTTTGACAACCGGTACCTTAGGCCACTGAGCTATCTCACCAGCTCTATTTGGTTACTTACAAACCCATGAGCTGTCACCTCAGATAAAAAACGAGGATCCTGGGCTGGAGAGATGGCTGTCAGAGGTCCTGAGTTCAATTCCCAGCAACCACATGGTGACTCACAACCATCTCTAATGAGGTCTGGTGCCCTCTTCTAGCATGCAGGCAGTAGACCTAATAAATCTTTAAGAAAAGGGGGGATGGATCCTTGCATCTATCCATCCAGATGTTTGTCCCTTCACTAATGATTCTGAACCATGTTTTTTTTGTTCTAGTTGCTCTCATGATGCACATTAACTCTAGGGATTTTGTGAATATTTTTCACCTGACATTATATTACCAAGAACCAAATATATTGTCACTCGCTTGCTTTTCCTGCTGATGCACTCTGAGGCTGTTCTTATGAACAGTACTACAATCTGTTCTCCATATGCAGAAAGATCAGTTACAAATTAACCCAGAAGTGGAATTTCTGGACCAGAGGGTGTGTCCACACTCAATTTAAAAGATAATGACGGAGCCGGGTGTTAGTGGCGCATGCCTTTAATCCCAGCACTTGGGAGGCAGAGGCAGGCGGATCTCTGTGAGTTCGAGGCCAGCCTGGTCTACAAAGTGAGTTCCAGGACAGCCTCCAAAGCCACAGAGAAACCCTGTCTCGAAAAACAAAACAAAACAAAAAAACAAAAAAAAAAAAAAGATAATGACGTTTTCCAAAGTAGTTCACAGGTCAAAATAGCTTACTAGTAGTGTATTGTTTGGGGTTTGTTGACTTGTGAGAGGGTCTTACTGTGAAAAGCCCTAGCTGGCCTGGTACTGAATATATAATCCATCTGACTTGAAACTGATGGCAATCTTCCTGGCCCAGCTGAGTGCTAGGACTACACAAATTCACTTCCATGTTCCACTTCTCATCAACACTTAACATTTTGCCAGTTAGCAGTCAGTGGTGGTGCACGCCTTTAATCCCCTCACTCTGGAGGCAGAAGTAGGCAGATCTAAGTTTTAAGGTCAGCCTGATCTACAAAATGAGTTCCAGCACAGCCAGACTGTTTCACAGAGAAACCCTGTCTTAAAAAAACAAGAAAAACATTTTGCCAGTCAAGGAAAATATACAATGGTAATCCATATGGTTTTGATATGCTGTTCCCCAAATCCCGATTTTGTGAAGTACCTCTGTTTTTTAGTTTTAATAGATTTTATGTACCCTGTTGTGTGCACACAAAAGAGGACACCTTGCAGGAATCAGTTGTCTCCTTCCACCAATGTGGGTCCCAGGGATCAAACTGGGCTTCAGGATTGTAGAGACGATCCTTACCTGCTGAGCCTCTTCCACAGTCCTCTTCCTGGTTACTGTCCAATGTGTTCCCTCTTCTGTGAAGTGCTAGTTTGTGTCTTTTTCCATTCTTTAGTTGCTAGTGCTTGTGGAAATTTGTGTAAATGCATTGTCTGTCTGTTTCTGTATGAAAGATATACACATTCCTAGATTGAGATTAGTGTCCTGCCAGTGGTGTATACTATGCATATGTGCATCCAATTGGCAGAACTCTTTACTTCCTTTATGTATTTACGAGAAACCACAAAAATATTATCAGTCATCTCTATTTTGGTTTTGAGACAGAGCTCAGTGTGAAGCCCTAGGTAGACCAGCTAGATTCAAACTCATTGAGATCCTCCTGCGTCTGCTTCCCAAGTTCTGGGGTTAAAACCACGCACCTCCATGCTACTTGGTACCTGGATTCCAGGGACCAAGCTCTCATCATCAGATTTGCACAGCTGGCTCTTACATACTGAGCTCCCTGGCCATCTCACTGGCCCAAAATTTTTTACTATTTTATATGAAACCAGATGTGGTGGTGCACATCTTTAATTCCAGCACTCAGGAGACAGAAGTAAATGAATTGCTGAATTCAAGGCCAGCCTGGTCTATATAATAGTGAATTATAGGCCGGGCATTGGTAGTGCACACCTTTAATCCCAGCACTCAGGAGGCAGAGGCAGGCTGATTTCTGTGAGTTCAAGACCAACCTGGTCTACAAGAGCTAGTTCCAGGACAGCCTCCAAAGCCACAGAGAAACCCTGTCTCAAAAAAACAAAAAAAAAAATTTAGATGATCCAAATTGTCTAATTTTTTTTGGTGGTTGTTGCTTGTACTTTTGAATACATATAGGGCACTAAGCATGTTGCCCAGTGTACGAAAATGCTTAGCTTATGTCTACAATGTCTGTGGGCTGACGTGTATGTAGCTCAGTGGTAGAGCATATATTTAGCAGGCAGGCGCAAGGCCCTTGGTTTGATCCCATCAGCCCCACAAAATACATCTTTATAGATCAGGGCAGTGCTGGAGCCCAAATTCTGTCACTAAGCTATATCCCTTAGGTTGTGTCTTATTCTCCTCCTAAACAATTTAAAGGGCTAACAAGATAGTTCAGTTCATAGTGTAGTAGTTTGCCCTGCAAACCTGAGGACCAAATCAAATCCCAGAACCCGTTTAAAAAGATGGGCTTTAGTAACACAGGCCTATAATCTCAAAGTTAGGAGGCCGAGTGTGGAATCCTGGGCTTGTGGGACAGCCAGCAAGTCTTACTGGTATGTTCCAGGTCCTAGTGTCTCCTAAGAACATCTACCACACCCAAGGTTGGATTAACATCTGACCTCTGCACCCATCCATATAGACCCGCACCTGCACCCGCACCCAATCGTTGTGAAACGGTTTTACAATACAGCCCTGGTTGGCCCGGAACTATGTAGACCAGGCTGGCCACAAACTCAAGAGCTCCACCTGTTTTTGCCACTTTTGAGTGTCGCTGGACAGTAGAGGTGCACGCCTTAATCCCAGCACTCAGGAAGGCAAAGGCCAGACTGGTCTACAGGGTAAGTTCCAGGACAGCCAAAGATGCTACACAGAAACCCTTACTGGAAAAATCCACAAGGGAAAGAGGTATGAGACACTAACCACCCAGCCAGGCCCTACTTCCTAATACCATCATAATGGGGTTATGATTTCTGCATACAACGAGAGACACATAGTCCATTCTACCAGGCTCTTGCAGCTTTTTCAAATTATGCTTTTCTATCTTCTAAAAGTCATTTTTTTTCCTTTTTTATTAAGTTGGCTTGTTTACACAGGTTTGAGGCTCTGGCTTGATTTTGGCACTAGGGAGGATTATCATTGTTGCTAAAGCTATCCCCCAAACACCTGGGCTCAAACAAGCCCACTTCAGTGTACAGGTTTTGTAGTTCGTTACTTTGCATATACTGGGGGGAGTTGCATGTGTTCCACAGCACACATACAAGTCAGAGGATGTTATGAAGTCGGTCCTTGCCCTCTCACTCTCTCAGGTTCCAGTCATCAGACAATCCTAGCAGGGACTTCACCTTACAAGCCATCTTGGTTTTTACTGTATGGTATGCGCTGCGTGAAGGTCAGAAGAGGGTGGTGCTGATGTAGTCTTCTACAGGAAGAAGAATCAGGTCCCCTACTTAAGGGGTTAAAGGCCAGCTTTGAGTTAAATAGTAGGGATAAATAGTAGGTAAGACCATTTGCTACTGTACATGTGAGGGCATAAATTAATCTCTAGCGTTGGTGTAAAAGGCTGGGCAGAACTGTAGGAATCTAATCCTAGCAGTGGAGATGGGTGGAGGCAGGTGTTGAAACATTGAGCTTTCATATTCAGACTTGACTATGGTAGTCATGAAGAAAGCTGTAGAAGACATGATTTCTCTGTGTATCCTTGGCTGTCCTGAACTAGCTTTGTAAACCTGCTCCCCAGTGCTGGAATTAAAAGGTGTATGCCACCACTGCCCGGCTTAGGCAGAAACTCCTAATTAAGTCAATCCCCACTTTCTGCTTATGTGGCTTTTCAAGATTTGTGTGGGTCTTACCCATGTCTTTTGTGTACCGTGTACATGCCTGGTGCCCATAGGTCAGGAGAGAGGCTGGACTAGTTCTAAGTCTCTTGATTACCTTATACGTGGTTGAAGACTCCCAGTAGACCAGTTTATGAAAAGAACAGCCCTAAATGTGAAGACTTTGGGCCTATAGCCTTCCCAATTGTGGCAATTCCATGGGATTGTGGTCCACTTGGCAGAGCATCTGACATTGCTGTCCCCTGGTTCAGTTTGGTGGCAACCCAGTGTCCTGTGCTGTGGGGCTGGCAGTCCTGGATGTCTTGGAAACAGAACAACTCCAGGCTCATGCCACTAATGTGGGCAGTTTCCTAATGGAGCACCTCAGCCAGCAGAAAGCCAAGCACCCTATCATTGGAGATGTCAGGTAAAGTTCTGGAACCAACAGGCATTAACCAAATACTTGCTAAGGGTTCAGCATTGTTCTATCTTCCTACCTTGGGATAAAAACCATCTATGTTGTCTCTGGAAGGAACTGGGATTCTGCGGATCCTGAGCCTTTCTCCAACCCCATTAGGATCAATCTCTCCAGGGTGAAGGGGGCAGCTCAGGCCAGGGCAAAGTGAGGCAGAGACCATAGATATAAAGATGTCAAATCCTCCAGGGGCACTGGACTCTTCATTGGTGTGGATCTGATCAAAGATGAGACCTTGAGGACACCAGCAACTGAAGAAGCAGAATACCTGATCTCCAGGTATTTTTTTTTTCCTGTGGGTTCCTGTGTGGCCTATAGCAATGAGTCTGCAGCTTTCTGGGTCCTAATCCTTGATTGAAAGCCTATAGGAGCCAACCTGAGACATCCCACACCTAACATCAGACTTATGCCAACCATAAAAATTCCTGAGTTTGAATGTGCCTTTATTCATATTGTAAGATGTGTTAAATTTACCTAGTCAGTAGTAAATGGCCTCAGCTATAGTATCCACTCCAGTGGGGGAATCAGAGATTGTCAGGTATAAAAGCCAGGGCCCAGGCTAGTGTTCTTAACTGAGTCATCCTAAGCATGGTTGGGTTTTGCCCTGGGTCTGATCCAACTTTTTCTCTCTGGGACAAAGACTGGGGAATCAAAAAGAATGTAATCATTTTATACCACTGAAGTCATCAGCACCTGGACTAGGTAGATAATGAGCTGGGTGGACATGGTGATGATGTGACAGCTGGATTACTATAATCAGAGCCTTTAAAGCCTGGTCCACAGGTGAGTTCAAGGCCAGCCTGGGCAATTTAGCAAAACCTTATGGAACTTTAGGACATCCTTAATCCCAGCACTCAGAAGCAGAGGTTTACTCTTGAGCTGGAGGCCAGCCTGAGACAACCTGAGCTACATAAGAGTGGCAGGTTTGAGCCAGGCGTTGGTGGCGCACGCCTTTAATCCCAGCACTCGGGAGGCAGAGGCAGGCGGATCTCTGAGTTCGAGGCCAGCCTGGTCTACAAAGTGAGTTCCAGGACAGTCTCCAAAACCAGAGAAACCCTGTCTCGAAAAACCAAAAAAAAAAAAAAAGTGGCAGGTTTGGCACAATGGACAGTGTACCTTGGGTAGGGACCAACTAATTGGGTGCCTACCTGTTCAAGGTTATCTTCAGAGACAGTTAAGACAGAGAACCAAGACTTTTAAAGTGTTTTGTTCTTACAGGCTGAAGGAGAACTACATTTTATTGAGCACTGATGGCCCTGGGAGGAATGTCCTGAAGTTCAAGCCTCCAATGTGCTTCAGCCTGGATAATGCACAGCATTTGGTAGCAAAGCTGGATGACATTCTAACTGGTAAGCTCGAATAGAACTCAACTAGCATGTATCAGGCCCTGGAGTCTGATCCTCAATACCACATACATAGACGTAATTTGAACAGTGGGATGAACATGGCGGTAACCACTGGTGATAACAGCATTTGGTAGGTGGAATAGGGTGAGATCACATCCAAGATAATACTGGGCTGCCTTAGGTTAAAAAAAAAAATCCTCAAGTCAGGCCAGGCCAGTGGTGCATATACCTTTAATGACTAGAACTTTATCTTCAAAAAACAGGGTACCCTCAACTGCTGAGTGACTAAAATGAATGGCTGACTACAATGAAATTCTCCCAGTAACCTCTAAATCACTCAAGGTTAATCAAAAGCAGCCCAAGGTCTCCCTCTATTTAAAGAAACTACCAACTATACACCAAAGTGGTTGTTCTATGAAAACACCAGCAAGGAACCTCTATCCCTGTCACTTAAGTGTTAATTAGTTAAACCCAATCCCTAGTGGATGTTTCAAACTGGTTCAGCTCTAGGAGTTGTATGAATGATTATGGACTTAACTAGAAACAGAACTGCTTTGGGCTCACACATGGGACTATCTGTGTTAGGGAAATTGTGGGACACGCCTGGGTAGGGATTCCAACTATCATACCAAGCACCCTATAACCTAACTGGGGAATAATGTAGGGTAGATCTGTGGTATTTTTTTCTAGATATGGAAGAAAAAGTAAGGAGTTGTAAAACACTCAGGATCCAGCCCAACTCAGTCAAGCACCCTTCAGGTAAGCGGGACTTATGTTTGGCCCACCTCCACCAGGAGATACACCAACTTCAACTTGCATTTGCTTGATAACTGAGTAAGAAACTAAGGATCTAGAGCATAATGCTTGTAAGATGTTCTCTAGATATAGAGGCTAAGGAAACAAAATGGTAAAAAGGTCAAGTGGGGAAACAGCTGAAGGACCCCTGCTACAGGAGACCCTAGTCCCAGAGCATCTATTACCTCCAACACTGGGCAAGGTCTCACAGAGCACCCAGGCGTGGGGGTTTTTTAATTTTTATTTCAAAAGCTCGGATAGCTTCAATATCCAGGTCGTGGCAAAATCAGGACACGTGTAAAATACCTTACAATACATTAGATTCCCAAAAGGTACCAAAAAGTACAGTAAAATTAACACTTCCATTACTGGAAATGTATGACACAAATAATATAAAATTAAAAGGTGAAAAAGGTGACACTGGTTTCCTAAGATACAGTTTACTTTACAACCAGGGTCCACAGGTCCAGGCTGCAGAGCAGCAGCAGGAAGCAGACCCTCCAATCTAGTACAGGGTAACCTGGTAATAAAAATCAGCCCCCCATGCTGCTCTGGCCTCTGAGACGCCACACGCTGCCTACAACTAGAGCTCTGGAATAGTAAACAGGAGAGTGATTTCCGGGGGGAAATTTTAAATAAGATGCACATGGGACAGGCCATAAAAGTTTGCCAAGTTAAATTTGGTACATAATTGTGTTCACTCCGCGTCCAAACAAAGCGTGTGCGGTCGTCAGTCGGCCGCTCCTGCTGCCTCTCAGTATGGCTTGTAGTTATTCTGATGGCCACCACGTCGCTGGCTCTTCCCGTAATTTGTACTACCCTGACCTAGGAATAAGAACAATATTGTGGCTACTACTTAACTGTACATTTTTACCCAGTGCCAGGCGCTTGCCACATCCTCACCATGTAGCCTCTCTTCACAGCAACACCAGCTTCTCATCTTACTGAGAAGGCTGAACAGAGGATAGAGCTCTATGTGGTAGCTCCAGTGCCTGAACCAGGCCTGTCTGACTCCAAAGCCCCTGCTGCCAGCGGCCTCTGCACTATCTGACCTGCCTCCCCTAGGAGGAAGTAGATGGGGCCTCCCTCTCCTACTTACTGTAGTCGTAGCCGGGGCCGTAGCCGTAATAGCCATAGGGCGAGTAGTCGTAGCCGCCATAGCCGGGCCCGTAGCCCTGCTGGTAGCCGTAGCCCTGGTTCCAGTAGTTGCCGTAGCCCTGATTCCAACTCTGACTCTGACCTGTGGGGGGAGCAGGGCACAGGGGCCCATGGACCATTTAGCACACGCAGGAGCTAGGATGGAGGAAATCCTGCCCTTTGGGTGGCGGGGTTACTATGGCAACTCAGGTAGAAGCCAAGAGGCTACTGTTCTGGTTTAGAGGGCCCTAGGCCCAGCCTTGCAATCCAGGAGGCCAAGACGCCAGTAACTTCACTTGGGAGTATAGGAAGCTTACTCACACTCAAATCACCCTCTGGTCACCTCCACCCTCCCTTTGGCAGCTTTGCCTTGAAAAAGATGCAGTTCAGGCTTTGGAGTTAGAGGGGCCTGGGATGGAAGGAGCTAAGCGCCTGGCACAGCTTTGCCTTTCTGCCCACAGGTATGTGTGTACCAAGAATCAGGACAGCCACAAAGCTAAGCACAATACACTGTGCCCCAATCATTCTCCCAGTGCAATGAAAATGTCCCCTTGGCCTGGGGCCCCAAGCTGCACAATGAGGAAGATATGGCTGTTTCAATCCATGGAGCCATGAGCCATAGCAGCACAAGCACAGCCTCCACCCAGGAAAACCACTCCCTGAGCTGTACCCACTTCACACCCAGCTTGCCCACCCCCACTGCACAGAAACACCGAGAGGCAATCCCAAGACAGCCAGAGAAAGCTCCTTGCAGGCAGGGAAAGTCTTCATCCAGCTTCCACTTACCTCCACCTCCACCACTGCCTCGGTTCCCTCGATTGCGGTTTCCTCTTCCCCCAGAGCCATACTGCTGTTGCTGATACACCTCTTTAGGCTGGGCAACTTTGATTTCACACTAAAAGCCAAGAAGACACTGGGTCAAGTTCTGAGGGACAGATCAGGTCTGGAATGCTACAAAGACTGCTATAGCCAAAACTCTTGCCCTCACCTGTCCTGGAAACTTCTAGAACGACAGCTAAAACTACAAGTTTGAGGGATGAAAAACAGGTCAACTAGAGCAGCTAGCCATAGTGGGCAAGGCGAGGTTAGAATTCCCCAGGGCCACAGGTACTAAGCTTTTTCACTCTTCTTTTTGCAGAAGGTACTCATCCTAGGCAAATATTCTAACAGGACGGCAAGCCGACCTCCACCTTACAGATAAAATCAAGCATGAGGCATTGTTGGAAGCCATATTGCTACCCTCCTCTTTAAGTACTGGTCCAATGAGATATGTTTCACATCTAAATCTGAACAGAACCCAGACTCACTTTCACGACTGATAACTTAAGGGAATATAAATGCTTTTACTTAATGATGTTTCTAAAGGCAGTCCTATTACATTCCCATTAAAAAAAAAAGTAACGTTAAACCCACTTCACTGGGATGCAAAAACAAACAAAACTCTTCCAAGTTTCAAACTAGCATGTTATAGAGAGCTGCAGTTCTGCCATGGAAGCAATGAGATGCATATATCTCCTATCAAGCTTTGCCTGATTTTATCTTACTGAATTAAAGGTACTGAATAAATTAGGTGGTGGTGGCATTCACCTTTAATCCCATCACTCAGGAGGCAGAGAGACAAGAGGGCAGCCTGGTTTAGAGTTCTAGGACCGTCCGAGCGAATCAAAGAAACCCTATCTCAAAGGGGTGGGGTGGAAAAGACTAAGTAATTTGAATGTTTACTTCTAAGGCTCACCAGCAGCAGTTTTCACTACCACAGAGGGCTCAAGGCTCTTCCTAGTTTACATGAAGGTACACCAAAAAAATAAAAAAAAAAAATGTCACTGTCGCCGGGCGTTGGTGGCACACGCCTTTAATCCCAGCACTCGGGAGGCAGAGGCAGGCGGATCTCTGTGAGTTCGAGGCCAGCCTAGTCTACTGAGTGAGTTCCAGGATAGCCTCCAAAACAATACGGAGAAACCCTGTCTCGAAAAACAAACAAAAAAAATCACTGTTTACTGGAATAACTAAGAATGCCCCACCTGTCTGCTTTAATTCCCCAACCCAAGTTTTTAATACTCCAAGAGAAGGGCAAGAACCTTCCTGGAACCTCACCCTACCTTATCTGGCTGCCACTCCAGTTCTCCAGTAAGCTACAGCCAGTGCCACACCTTCTATCCTAACCAACTTGAAAATCTATTTCTTCACTAAACATGACTCCACATTTGCAGTCCTTTTTAGGCCTACAGTAGGGCTGACTAAAGCACACCTAAATGGAACAAACTCTGGAACAGGAAAAACATCCACACATATGTAAACATACTAAATTACTGAGCTCTAGAACCTAAGACCACTGCAAGTCTCATAACCCCTGAACTGTATCATCCCCAACACCACTAAATCAGGCACCAAAGAATCTAGTCAGCAGGTCTATTCACAAAAGCCTTGCTTACTCTGCCTCCTTACACCTATTTTAGTTTTTATCAATATACCTAGTACATACAGTGCACTGTGTCCACAGAGACCAGAGCATTAGAGCCCTTGAACTATAGTTACAGGCTTATAGGTGGCTGTGAGCCAACAAGGGTGCTCAGAATGGGCCAGGGTCTTCCTGAGAGCTAGTGCTCTTAGCCTCTTTAAAGAACTGCTTTTATCAGCATTGTGTACTACAGAAAAACAGTAAAATTTTACTAACAAAGGGTCAGTCAACCTACACCTCCAAAAACCAAAAGCAGGTAAAGCCGTTTCTGACACCTTACCTTGCTTCCACTGACAGTATGGAACTTTTTCTCCAGAACTTTCTTCACAGGGTCTTCCTCTTTGTATGTAATAAAAACAAAACCCCGTCTTTTGTTCAACTTGGGATCTATTGGAAGCTCAATGGCCTCAATCTGTAAAAACATAAAACAAAGCTCAGGTTTAAACCTCTGGTACCCACATACAACCCTGCCAAAAGACCACTGAAAAGATGAGAAAACCCTGCTAATACACTGGCCAGGCAAGGTCAAATAACAGGACAAAACAGCCATACTCACCTCCCCAAATTGGCCAAAGTATTCTCTGATCTTTTCTTCTGTGGCTTCAGGGTTCAGACCTCCCACAAAGATTTTCTTCACAGGATCCTTCTTCATAGCCATTGCCTTTTTAGGGTCAATAACACGACCATCCAGCCTGTGTTCCTTCTGGTCTAAGACCTGTGTAAAACAGAGTCATGTCAGGTCCAATCCAACACAAATACACAAAAAGGGCTTAATTCAGACGGGCGGTGGTGGCGCACGCCTTTAATCCCAGCACTCGGGAGGCAGAGGCAGGCGGATCTCTGTGAGTTCGAGGCCCGGCTGGACAGACAGCCTCCAAAACAATACAGAGAAACCCTGTCTCGTAAAACCAAAACAAAAGGGGGGGCACTTAATTCTCTCTGGGGCCAAGCCAAATTGACTTTCTAAGCCTCAATACAGAGAACCACCTGAATACCTATAAGCCAACCCCCACTAGCCTCTGCCCATGCTCTATACTTCTCCTTCCTAACCAGTAGTTCCCTACTTAAGACCTCCTTTCATTGAAGCAGTAACAAAGAACACTGGATAATCTCATGTTGAAATCCTTTCCACCCAGCATAAATGCATGCATTTTCACCATTTCTGATATTTAGGAATTGGGGTCCCATCCCAATTAAAATTCTATTAAAAAAAAAAAGCCTATCCTACAGCAAAATATTTAACAGCAAGCCCATGAATAGGCATATATAAAAGATAATAAAGAGCCGGTGGCAGTGACTGCACACCTTTAATCCCAGCACTTGAGAGGCAGAGGCAGAAGAACCTCAGTTGAGTTTGAGGTCAGTCTGGTCTACATAGTGAGTTCCAGGACAATCAAGGCTGTTACAGAGAAACCCTGTCTTAGAAAAAAATTAAATAAAATAAAAACACATAGTAAGGGAGGGCTGAAGGCAAGACTCTAGTTCTTGCCCAGCTCACTGCCCTCCTCATATGCAATAAGCCTTAAGACAGTATGAACGGTAATCCTCCAAAATAACTCCCTCACATAACCCATTCAATCTGTACTATCCCTCAAAACAGGAATTTGAGCTCAGAATCCTAATAGACTGCTGCTAACACCCAGCTTACCTTCTCTACACTGGAAGAGTCTTTGAATAGGATAAACCCAAACCCTCTTGATCGTCCAGTGTTAGGATCCATCTTAATCGTACAGTCAACGACCTCCCCAAACTTAGTAAAATAATCCTTTAAATCTTTTTTGCTGGTATCCCAACTCAGACCACCAACGAACATTTTTCTGAAAGGAAGACAACGAACACAAATCTTAGAAGCGGGATGTGGTGTTTACAAGTCTGACCCGGATACACTTTCCTGGCAAGGGCTTGTGAAACCACCGTCCCATGGGCCAGCCCGAGATGGCGCTCCTTTTTTTTCCAAGTTGATCCCTCCCGTGTTACTCTGGCATCTCGACTCTTCTGAAATTCACATCTGACGGAGGTTGTATACCCACAGTGTGGAAAAAGGCCAACCTGATCACAAACGTGACCCATAACCCCTCACAAGTTTAAGAGTGTTTTGCACTCCTATATTTAAGTTAGCTCCCGTTCCGTTCTTCCCCGCCTCCCAAGAACTGGTCCCGAGGAACTCTGGGTTTCCTGGGGCCGAAACCGCCCTAGGGTTCAGGCCGTGGCTCCGCCCCTCGACCCGAGGCAGGCTAGGCCGGGCCCGCCGCGCGCCAACTCCGCCCACGCAGCCCAGACGCAGCGCTCGCGGCCCGATTCGAGGTCGGCCGCTTTTCCTCTTCCGGGGCCTCCCGCCTCGAGGCCCGCTGCAGTCTAAGCACCCCGCGACTAGCCCAGGGCGGCCGCAAAGTCGACCCCGCAAACTCCTGCAAACTCCAATGCGCCTAACCGCGCCCGGGCCCGCCGGCGAGCGCGCCAAGCACCGCTCGGCGGGCCGCCCGCCCCTCCCCCCGCCGCGTGGCGCCAACAAAAGGCTGCCCCGGAACAAAGGCGGCGGCCCGGCGGCCCGCGGCCGCACCTACCCCGCGTCCTCCTCGTTTTTGCTGGCGTTGATCTGATCACCCTCGGCGCCGTTCTGGTTCCCGCTCGGGGTGGCCGTGGTCCCGCCCCCAGACGCGGCCGGGGCTGCGGGGGCCGGTGCCCCGGCGCCCGGCTCTACCGGGGCCTCGCCTTCGGGGGCGGCCTCGTGTCCGTTCTCGGTGGCGCCCGCCGTTTCCATGGGCTGCTCCTCAGCCGCGTCCGACATGGTTAGCCAGGCCGCAGCGGCTCCTGCAACGAGCGGCGACGGCGCGTCAGGCCCCGCGGCACTCCCCGAACTCCCGCCCACCGCCCGCGGCCCGGCCGCTCACCTCGCCGCCGATGACGCCGCGAGGCCTTACTCGCCGCGGAAGGCGCCGCGGGCTTGGCCGGGCTCGCACCCGCACCCCCGGGAGCTCGTCCGCGTCCACCGACGGTGTCGCGCCGCTCGGCTGCCGGCGTCCACAGGCCACAGACGCGACCTCAGCTCCGTCCCGCGCGGTGCCACCGCCTGACAATGCCAACTCGTGGAGCTCTTTATAATGCCGGAGCCGGGGATCACCTCCTAACAAGAACTATTCTCATTGGGTGGCGCCAACCGCCACTCACCACTGTCGTGGCATTTTATTGGCTGCTGCCGCGCGCGCGCTCTAGATCCGGGCGGGCTTTGTCCTCATTTTAGAACGCGCGCGAGTCAGAACTGCGTACGGTTCCGGTCATCGAGCGGGCGCCTGAAGTGTCCCTTTTTGTCGGGGGGAGGGGGGAACCACACGACAGTCTGTCATCCCCACCGCACACCCCGTCCCATACTAACAACCTAAAAGAGGATAAATGAGCCGGAGGAAGCCCCTAAGTCCAAGGTCGCCCGGAGGAAGTAGCCGAATCTTGGGTTTCCAAGAAAAGGGTGCTAGGGTCGCCTGAGGCCCCCAGTGCGGCCTCCTCCTAAGCGCGGTGTCCTAAGACGCCCGTGCTCTTGCCCTCTCTTCCAGTGATGCTGGCTGGTGCGGTCCGTGGCGGTCTGGCGCCATGACCGTTGGAGCGTTGCGTTCCCAGTTTCAGCTTAACACCGATAGATACTTAACACCGCATTCGTGTTTAGTTTTGCTTGTAATTTTTTACGTTGATTGGTTTTTGTTGGATTTTTTGTTTGTTTTTTGAGACGGGATCTCGAAACCCAGACTGGCCTTAACTCCTTTTTCACCCGCTCAGTGCTAGGATTATGCTGCACCACCACCATTACTGGCTTAATTTCATTTATTCTAGATGGCATTTTTTTTTTTTTTTGGTTTTTTGAGACAGGGTTTCTCTGTATTGTTTTGGAGTCAGTCCTGGAACTCACTCTGTAGCCCAGGCTGGCCTCGAACTCACAGAGATCCGCCTGCCTCTGCCTCCCGAGTGCTGGGACTAAAGGCGTGCGCCACCACCGCCCGGCGGCATTTTTTTTTAAATAAGGTCTTTTTCGCCTGGCATTGGTGGCGCATGCGTTTAATCCCAGCACTCGGGAGGCAGAGGCAGGCGGATCTCTGTGAGTTCGAGGCCAGCCTGGTCTACA